CTTCTCACGACGGCTCTTCTTAGACTTGGGGAATCTCGAAAAAGTTGTTCAGCCTTCTACCAAGGGCATCAGCGTATTCCCACTCACCCCCAGACAACAGAGCGAACAGTTAACCAGATGGTGAATAAACTGGGACGTTCACATTGGTAAACGCACGGTCAAACGGGTAGAGATGAGGGCAGGATGGAATTCTGTACCCAAATAAAGATGTTTCATCCCTGTTATGAAAAGCCATTTTTCTTTTAAAAGTGTTTTAAAATTCATCAATTTAAAATATGTTTAAAATCAAAGAAGCAACATTCTGATTGAACACCATATTTAAAAAAACGTGATATGCTTCAGGCACTGTAAACATAGAGAAAGAAGATCAAAGAACACAGGCAAAAACAATGCTGGAAAACAGGGTGGGCGGAGGATTTCTGCTTCCCGAGCTGGGCTGGGAAGGAAAGGTAAGACTCAGTCATGGGGGTATGTACAGTAAAGCCATGTCAGGCGCCAGCCTTTGAAAACTGAGGCCAATTTTTTAAAAGTGCAAGAAGAAACATAACATACTCACAAAACAAGGTGACAGAAAGGACAACGGTGCAAAAGGCTTCTTCTAAAGTAATTTATCCATCTACTTACAAGGGCCGGGCGACAAGCTCCTGAAATGCGTGAGCTTTCAAAGCCTAACTGGAGTTTCTCTCTGTTGATCTGATGTCAGAACAGCAAATCATTGTGGTCTCAAAAGAGAAAAGTGAATGTTAATCGAAAAGTTCATTGGAATTTGAAAGACTGTTCACTAGTTTTTGTCACTCACTCACTCACAATCTTTATAATGATGGAGCTGGGTACTGAAAGCTTGGTAATCACAAAGCTTTTCTTGGAGGTGGCTCACACGCGTTTTTCTGACCATGTCGAATGTGACATGAAAGATAGGAAATGAAAGAATTTTAAATCTGGCCCAGGTCAAGGGGAAGTTAGAGAACCACGTCACATGGGGATGAAGGGAAGGTGAGTAGCCAGGTGTGGAAACTGTCTCCCATAGGATTCAGCCTCAGATGAAGGGCCTGTTTTACAGAAAACTGAGGCAGTGGCACATGGCCCCAGAATTTGCTGCCTTATCGCAACATCCATCACCCAGAAGCACTAGGCTAACATAAACTATGGACTTCAGTTATAAATAATGCATCCACATTGCTTCATTAATTGTACACCACCCTATTGCCGGTTAGGGAGGGCTTCCTTGATGGCGCAGTGGATAAGAATTCACCTGCCAATGCAGGGGGCGTTGGGTTCGATCCACGGTCTGGGAAGATGCCACATGCCTCGGAAGGACCAAGCCCGCATGTGACAAGTACTGCAGCAGCCCTGCTCTGGAGCCCACCTGCTGCGACTCCCGAGCCTGTGTGCTGTAAGCGCTGAGGTCTGTGCCCCTGGAGCCTGTGCTCCGCGGCAGGGGAAGCCCCGGGGATGAGGAGCAGCCCCCGCTCACCGCAAGGAGAGGAGCCCATGCATAGCCACAAGGATCCAGCACAGCCCCAAATGGCCAAATTAAAAACACGCTCATGACAGGGGAAACTGTGTGCCTGGAGCGATGGGGGCACAAGCGTTTCTGTGCTATCCACTCAATTTCTATAAATCTAAAGTGACACTAAAAGCCACTGTCTACTCATCATTTTTCAAGAACTCACAGCCATGTGGGAATGTCAGAGGGATACGGAAGCTGCCTGAGAGGGCTCCCGGGGGCCAAGGCTGGAACAGTCTGAGTAAGAAAATAGGTGATGCGTGACCGGATGATGAGCACCCACAAGTGCATACCAATGGAAGTGCATCGATGAACGAACAAACGAGTGGGGGAGAATAATCTAATCTCCACGCAGCAGAAATGTAAAGACTCTGCATAAATATTCCACAGGGCCCTCCTCCCTGCAGCCAGGCTGCACGGCGATGGGCTCACAAAGAGCAAGGAGAGAAGCGGCCAACACCACCGAGGGCGGCCGACCGAGGTCCACAGCCGCAGAGAGACGCCCCCGGTGCACTGCAAAGCGGCCAACACCACCGAGGGCGGCCGACCGAGGTCCACAGCCGCAGAGAGACGCCCCCGGTGCACTGCAAAGCGGCCAACACCACCGAGGGCGGCCGACCGAGGTCCACAGCCGCAGAGAGACACCCCTGGCGCACTGCAGCCTTCGTGAGCTGTGATTAGAACTGTGCCTCGCCTCTGCGGACTTAGCGCATTCATGTTCAAGCCATTTGTGACCAATTATGGTTTCAACATACCTTCTTAAAGTGTTTTCTCATTCCTCCTGTTCCATGTTCACTTTTCTTTCTTATTTTTAATGGACGATTTTTTTTTTTTTACTGTTCTATATTCTACTGTATCATCTGTCTAGAGTGAGGGAAAGAGCTTGAGTTATTTTAAGGGACTGACTCGCATGTGTGGGGCTGGCAAGCCCACAGTCTGCAGGGTGGGCTGCAGGCTGGGGAACCGGGGAAGAGTTGGTGCTGCAGCTCAAGTCTGAAGGCCGCCTGCTGGCAGACTCCCACCTCCTTGAGGAGGGTCAGACTTTTGTTCTACTCAGACCTTCAACCGATCAGATGCGGCCCACCCATGCTATTTACTCAAAGGCCACTATTTCCATGTTAATCTCATCCCCTAACCTTCTCTCGGAAACACCTAGAACAGTGTTTGACCTCACATCTGGGCATCACAGTCCAGCGAAGGACACGAAACCCACCCTCACAGCGTGAAGGTCCTGGGGGGCTACACTTGCACCAAGCGGGCCCCCAGCTCTGGGCGAAGCGTGGGCCTCCGTTCCCTCCCCCTTCCTGGTGAGCCACGGCTTTTCGCCGGAGCCTGCCTCTCCGGGACCTCAGCTGACGGTCTGGCAGCCGCCCTGCACGGGGGGACACGCTCTCCTGGCTCGCATTGTGTGGTGGGGCTGGAACAGCCCTGGTAAGACCACAGGTGCGCATCTGTCTCCCTAGAGACCCATTGCTCTTTCAGGCACGAGTGCTTGCCAGTTTGTGGTCTGTCTCTGGTTGATTTCCCGTGCCACTTCTTGGTTCATTTGGGCAATTTTGTCCAGTTTCATGCCTTTTTTTTTCTTGGTGGAAATGAGTTACTTACATGCTCACCCATCACCTCTGTAAGTCCCTCCAGCTTCATGCATTCTGAGGGCCCGTCCTCAGGCATACACACAGTTACAGGTGTGTCTTCCCAATGAACTGACCCTTTTATCAGCACGAGATGTCCTTCTCTGTCTCTGGACACTCCTTGTCTCCAAGTGTATTCCCCCCAGTGTTAATGTCACCTCTCCAGCCTTGCTACACTCGCTGCTTTCATGGTATATCTCCTCTATGCTCATTTATCGCCAACCGATGTGTGTCTTTGTATTAAAATATGTCCTCACATGACCTGTGATCAGGTCCTGCTTTTTTCCTTCACTCGCTCTGGCGATTGCAGCCTTTTGACACGGTGTTTCACCCACCAACAAACTTGTTGCGGTCATTAGTGTGGTTGGGTTGGATTGATGAACAGTTCTGAAACTTTGCTTTCTGTTTTCCTCTATGATTTTTTGCTTGTCCACTCTTTCATTCTTTCTTCTGGATGATTTGAGTCATTTTGAATTCTGCTTTATTTGCCACTGAGAAGAGCCATCCTGGTTCTTTAGCAAATCAAGGAAAGGCCAGACTCTGCACACACGAAGAGGGGATCCTGCTGTGTTGAGGAAGGTTCAGGTGGTTTGGACTTTCACGGTTTACTCAAACATCTCCATCCCAGATCTCGGGGTTCACTTCTTCTTGATTAACAATCTACCTTTGATAAGAGAGACTTGGTAGGACTGTGGATTCAACTCACATCATAATTTACAACTCCAACAGTCGGGATTGGAGTCTGGTCCTCAGTTCTGATGACTTTGCAGGTACAGAATAAGAGGTTTCTTCTAGGGCTGTTATTGGAGCTCTCTGGTTCTGTCCGTGACTGCCTCTAGCTAGAAATGCAAGGGCCCCAGCTTTCCCCACGCACCCAGCACAGTCCACACCTCGCGGTCTCTCTGCAGTCATCACCCCAGCAGCCAACCCCCATCGCAGTGGCTGCTGAAATCCCCAAGTCTTGTCATCAGCCAGGGCTTTGTCCCAAGCAGCCACACGGTCATATAAGCCTTTTCGGTGGTCTAAAGGCCGGCCCCCTCTCTCACTGTTGTGTGATTAGTTATCTGGGGCTGGGGGCGTTGCTGTTGTTACTCGATAGCTAAGTGTTGTCTGACGCAACGTGTTGGAGCCTCAGTTAGGGGTGGGGAGGAGCCAACACCGCTCTTATGAGAAGCTAGAAAGGACTGATGCTGAAGCTGAAGCTCCAATACTCTGACCACCTGATGCGAAGAACTGACTTATTTGAAAAGCCCCCGATGCTGGGAAGGATTGAAGACAGGAGAAGGGGACGCCAGAGGATGAGATGGTTGGATGGCATCACGACTCAATGGACATGAGTTTGAGCAAGCTCCGGGAGTTGGTGGTGGACAGGGAGGCCTGGCGTGCGGCGGTCCATGAGTCACAGAGTTGACACGGCTGAGCGACCTTTAAAAATAACAAGACACTGGGGAGGTGCGGATGCTCAGCCAGTGTAGAAAATCCTAACACCCTCGCGCTTCCTCCCAAAATCAAAGTAGAACCAACGACCCTATGAAATCGGCGTGCCCTGTGAAGGCGCTCCGGGGCGCCCAGCGCTCCCTGCAGGTCCAGGCCCTCTGCCGGGCGCGTTTGGGGGCGTCTGAGCACCGTGGGCGTGAGCGGCTGCCACAACTGGAGCCGGAACTCTTCCGCCGTAGCCGCAGTGCTCAGGGGGAACTCTGAGGCCTGCGCCCCGCGGCCCCACGCGCCCGGAAGAAGCGGGGCATTATGGGAGGGGCGCGCGTTTCGGCGGGTTCCGTTAAAATGGCGCCCTTCTTGCCGGCGCTGCCCGCGGGGCCTTAGCCGGTGGGGGAGCCGGGAGCCCGCGGGGCCGGCGCGGGCAGCCCCGGGCGAGGATGGCGACCCCGGACCAGAAGTCGCCCAACGTCCTGCTGCAGAGCTTGTGCTGCCGGATCCTGGGCAGGAGCGAAGGTAGTGGGGCTGCGGGCGGCTGCGAAGCGCCCCCGGGCCTTCAGGGTCGGGGCGGCCGGGGGAGGGGCCGGCCGGGCTGGCTGAGTCACGGCGGCCCCGGGCGCGTCCGCCTCCTCAGGCCGCGGTGCCGGGCGCGCGCCCCCGCTCTATTGCGGGCGCTGGGCCGCGCGCGGCGCCTCCTGACGTGGGCGAGAAGCGGGTCCCGGGTGACGCGGAGACCCGCCTCCGGCCTCGGTCCCCGCAGTGCGGGCCGAGGGGCACCTGAGATGAGCGTCGTGCGGTCCCGGGCCCGCGGGTCGTCACCGCCCGCCGTCTCTCCGCTCCTCGTGGCGGGAGGGGGCGACGGGGCGGCCCAGTGAGGGCCCTCCGGGCGCAGGAGCGCTGGGTTATTTGTCCCTTAAGCACCACAGTGTGGGCAAGACAGTCTGCAGGTTTTGCTGGAAGGAAGCAAAACTGAATCCTTGAGACGGCCCCTTGTCTTCCCACGACTCTTGAAATTGGCCCGCGTAATTTATCTGGCGGTCAGTGATAGCCTCAGGAGCGAAAGATGGCTGTTTGGGTTCAGCCCGTGAAGTGACCCTGACTTCACTCAGGTCTCGCTCCAGTTCGTGAAGTTTCTTTTTGCCACTCTGTCCCTCTGAGAAGCCTGGGCTTCCCTCTCCTGCAGGCACCGCGAGAGATGCCCGCGGTGCAGGAGTGGGAGATAGGGCCGCCGCCTCAGGTCCTGCCTCCTGTTCACCGTGGAGGGGAGCCCACAGAGTCAGCGCGCTTACAGTGTTGAGCAGTGGGGTGCCTGAGGAAGAAGAAAGCAGGGCAGATGGCTGTGGAGGGAAGGCTGAGGAAACCCGAGCGGAGACCTGAGTGTAGGCGCGGGTTCCCCTCACCCCTGGGCCAAGGTCTTGAGGCGGGTGGGGGCCTGGCTGTCTTTGCCTTTTGCCTCCAGCTCCTCCTGCAGTCTGAGTTGCCTTTCTGATTTGCTATCCGGATCTTCCAGCCCTTGAGGATACCCATAGACACCAGGGAGCTGAAGTTGGTGGTCAGGACTCAGTTAGGTTTCAGCCAGCGGGCCCTCGGTTTTCCTCCAGAGTGAAACTGCAGTCATGTGTGGCCATGGTCACAGCTGGGCTTTGAAGACCGTCCATGGTGCGGCATCGTGGTTCTCAGAATACTTTTTTTTTTTTAACATTTGAGGATCCTGTCGATTGACTTAGTTTCACCCATTCTAGGAGGTTGAAAAACTTCTTTTCAGAAAGTTCTGCACCACCCTCTCTTTTAGAATTTTGCCTAAATTAAGAGTAAATAGGCTCCTGTACACCTTAAACTTACACAGTGATGTAGGTCAGTTATATTTCTACAAAATGAGAAGGACAAAAAAGTAAATAACCTGTGAGATCCTCTCGGAATAAAATATAAAATCCACTAAAATGATGCTCTCTTTCCTCTGTTCTGGACAACTAGGCTTGCCAGACAATTGTATTCACGTTTCCAAATCACGCTCCTGTTCACTGAAGAATTTATAAGTCTTTAATAGCTTCCCTTGTTCTGTTCTAATTTGTTCTACCCTATGAGTAAAGAAGCAGTGCTAACTGCTGCCTTTACAGTATTTGAGATTTTAAAATAATTTCATTAGTGGGTGTTTAGTTTGTTCACTAAGTAGAACATTTGATTAACTACTTCATTTTCTAGTGATGTTACAAACAACTGGCCTTATGCTTTTATAATGTATTGCTTTTTTAATACTATGAAATTGAGCATTATAGACACTTGTTACTTTTTATGTGAATTTCATATGAATTATTTTTTCATAAAGTATTTTAAAAAATTTGTAGTTGGCCTCAAGGGACCTTCAGAAGCCAAACCCTGAGCTCTAACGGTGCTTGATAATTTTATAAACTTAGTGTAGCCATTATTTCCCACCTTTTCCTGCTTATGTCACTTGTGGGTTTGCTGGAAACACCCAGTGCCAGCCAGTGACAGGGGAGGTCTCAGCACCCCTGAGCCTCCCCTGGATAACATTTTGCTTATTATTACGTCTTTGGATAGTCAGTATTTCTCTCTTTGGAAACATTGTCCTTACATCACTTCACCTCTGTCAGAGGCAACATTCCTTTTCTTATGCAGTCCTCTTTCTAGTCGGAGATTAAGGAGAAGTTCAGGAGTTCCTGTCAGGTTAAGTGTTTCAGCGCAAATGCTTAGGTGGAACTACAGCCCCCTGCACAATGCGGTCAGATGGTGACTTGATCTGGAAGCCGTGTGTGCGGGTTGCGTGAGCCCCCGTGCGGGCAGGGATGAGTGTTGTCTTGGTAGCTCATGGGCCGCAAGTGGTGTTACTGTGAGTTTTAAGATTTTTGAAGATGGTGAAGAGCTCTTGATGAAGTTCCAAATAAAGGATAGTCTTACTCTTGGGGAAATGAATGTGTATTAGATACATTAAAACTTGTCATGTATTATTAAAATGTTCACTAAATGTTGATTAATTGGGTATGTTACTTTTTAAAGGTTTAGATTTCATTTGAAAATTGTATTTAATTGGCTCGTTATTTTAAATGAATTAGTATTTAAAAATGATCCTGGTTTACATTTCTAATACAAGTATAAATAGATAGATGTAACCCCCATAAGTAAAAACTTCCAGGGGTCCTCAATCTTAGAAGTATAAAGGGGGCTTGAGATAGAAAAGTTAGAGAACCACAAGCCTAGAGCAGTGTTCTTGTTTTGTTTTGAGTATTGCTTTTCAACTAGCTCTGTGATCAGAATGGCCTGTGGTCCCATGAGAAGCTGATGTAGGGCTGCTGCTCTGGGGAGAGGAGCTGGTGGCAGACAGCGGTGGAGGGGGGAGACCTCCGCATGTCCACTGTCAGGCCATTCCACTGTGAATCCTCTGTGTGGCACTTGCCCAGAACGAGTCCGTGCACCTCGTCTGCAGAGACCGTGGCGCTGGTGGGTCCGTTGGAGCGCAGTGTCTGGAACATAGGCATTCTGACCTGCATCTGGGCTGGGGATTGGTTTAAGAAAAAGCTGATGGATTTTTCCAAACATTTGATCATTGACAGGAGAGACAGACTGGAGGCGTGGCTGGCAGACAGACAGGGGAACTGCAGTGTGGCTGTAGAGATGGGAGGGGCGTGAGGGGCACGCGGCCGTGTGGGGAGGGTGTGGGGATGGGGCTGTGCCTCTGTTCCACGGGGCCTGGGTGTGTGGTCGGGGAAGATTCAGACGCTTAGGAAGCTCTTAGAGTGGGCTTTTCATCTGGCGTCCCTGAGCATGTTGTTAGTGAGCTCTTTTTTTTTTTTTCCTCAGCTAAATCTCTTTATTTTTTTATTTTTTTTATTATTTTTTTTCCATTTATTTTTATTAGTTAGAGGCTAATTACTTTACATCATTGCAGTGGTTTCTGTCATACATTGAAATGAATTAGCCATGGTAGTGAGCTCTTGTTTGTAGAACTCAGGATCCTGGTAGTCCAAAAGCAATTTTAACTAAAATACACAGCTCTCCTTTTACATATGTGATGTCAGTGACCCTTTTAATATTTATAAAATTAAAGTATTCTTGATGTAGGAAATTTTTTACCTGTGGAGCCCCGTGACCCCACGGGAGCACTCCTCAGTTCCTCCCTTGTGCTCTTGCCTCCGCGTGTCTCACCGTGTTCAGTACCTGCGTCATGTGCGGTGGTGTCCGAGGAAGACTCCGTGTGTGTGAGAGAGAGAGAGCGGGGAGCGGGGAGGCGGGCGGAGGAGCGGGGGAGGTCGAGGTTCTCAGTGTCCTCGCTGGTGCTGTGAGCCGGCTGCGGGGCTGGCAGGGGGCGAGGGGCGGGTCTGTCCTGGCCGGAGGGGCAGGAGAAGGAGGGGTCTGCTCTGCGATGGGCTGGAGGCTGTGGCCTGGTGGAGGACAGGCTGGAAGAGGCCGAGTCAGCAGGTGTGGGCAGAGCGCGGGTTAGCCACGACGGCGGTGGTCGGGCCCCCTCGCCGCACGTGTTGTAAATACCTGGTCATGTAGCAGCCGGGCTCCCTTAGAGCACTGCGCGCGCGCGTCGCGACGTGCCCGCTTGGCCTCGGGCGCGCTGTGGCCTGTGAGCACATGTGAGCTCCACCTCAGGCGCCCCGGGGGCTGCGTCCACTGGGTCAACCATGAGAGAACACAGTGAACCTGCTGCCACGGCTGCGATGCCAGTCAGGGGAGAACAGGCCTGTCTGCAGTTCCCGGGGCTCCTTCCGTCGTCTTCCAGCTTCCGCGCGCCCCTCGCCTCCCCCGGGTTAGACAAACAGTGAGACGCGGCCCCAGCAGGGCTTACTGACGTGCCTTGATTTCCCAGCTCTCACGGTTTATGCCTTCATTCTCCTTTTTCTCAGTTTAGTCAGGTTACTGAAGGGCGTGGCGACACACATCTGTGTTTAAGCCGTCCTCTTTATCTGGAATGGCACACGTGGTCAAAAGTTACTGTTGGCAGCTTGTGGCCACTCTTGGTGTGTGTGTGTGTGTGTGTGTGTGTGTGTGTGTGTGAATGCACACGTGAGTAAGCCCTGCTCTGCTGGTACCATGGTGTGTGTGTGTGTGAATGTGAATGTATGTGCGTGTGTAAGCCCTGCTCCACAGGTACTGTGGGGGGGTGTGTATGTGTGCGCATGAGTGTGTGAGTAAGCCCTGCTCTGCAGGTATCGTGGTGTGGGTGTGTGCGCATGTGTGTGTACGCCCTGCTCCGCAGGTATCGTGGTGTGTGTGTGTGTGTATGTGTGCGCATGTGTGTGTACGCCCTGCTCCGCAGGTATCGTGGTGTGGGTGTGTGTGTATGTGTGCGCATGTGTGTGTACGCCCTGCTCCGCAGGTATCGTGGTGTGGGTGTGTGTGTATGTGTGCGCATGTGTGTGTAAGCCCTGCTCCGCAGGTACCGTGGTGTGTGTGTGTGTGTATGTGTGCGCATGTGTGTGTAAGCCCTGCTCCGCAGGTATTGTGGTGTGGGTGTGTGTGTATGTGTGCGCATGTGTGTGTACGCCCTGCTCCGCAGGTATCGTGGTGTGGGTGTGTGTGTATGTGTGCGCATGTGTGTGTACGCCCTGCTCCGCAGGTATCGTGGTGTGGGTGTGTGTGTATGTGTGCGCATGTGTGTGTAAGCCCTGCTCCGCAGGTATCGTGGTGTGGGTGTGTGTGTATGTGTGCGCATGTGTGTGTACGCCCTGCTCCGCAGGTATCGTGGTGTGGGTGTGTGTGTATGTGTGCGCATGTGTGTGTACGCCCTGCTCCGCAGGTATCGTGGTGTGTGTGTGTGTGTATGTGTGCGCATGTGTGTGTAAGCCCTGCTCCGCAGGTATCGTGGTGTGGGTGTGTGTGTATGTGTGCGCATGTGTGTGTACGCCCTGCTCCGCAGGTATCGTGGTGTGGGTGTGTGTGTATGTGTGCGCATGTGTGTGTACGCCCTGCTCCGCAGGTATCGTGGTGTGGGTGTGTGTGTATGTGTGCGCATGTGTGTGTACGCCCTGCTCCGCAGGTATCGTGGTGTGGGTGTGTGTGTATGTGTGCGCATGTGTGTGTAAGCCCTGCTCCGCAGGTATCGTGGTGTGGGTGTGTGTGTATGTGTGCGCATGTGTGTGTACGCCCTGCTCCGCAGGTATCGTGGTGTGGGTGTGTGTGTATGTGTGCGCATGTGTGTGTAAGCCCTGCTCCGCAGGTACCGTGGTGTGGGTGTGTGTGTATGTGTGCGCATGTGTGTGTACGCCCTGCTCCGCAGGTATCGTGGTGTGGCTGGGACTTTTCCTGCTCCTTTTCTTAGGATTACCCGTCCAGTTAGTTTTCTGGCTCTGAGCAGCTTTCAGACTTTGTGGCCTGTTGCTGCCTCCCTTTCTTTGCTTGTAAAACACACCGTTCACTTAGTCCTTCATCCTGTTGCCTCGTGGGCCTTCTGTCCGCTCAGGTGGGACCTGGGCAGTGGGAGGCAGGGGCCCCGTGCGCTGTCTTGAAGAGGCGGGAGCTTCGGGTGGTCCCCGCTGAGCCTGGTTGGCCGTAACTTATATGCTTTGTTTACCTTCCAGCCGACGTGGCCCAGCAGTTCCAGTATGCCGTGCGCGTCATTGGCAGCAACTTTGCCCCAACTGTTGAAAGAGATGAATTTCTAGTAGCTGAAAAAATCAAGAAAGAACGTATGTATTTTTCTTAAGTGTTACTTCGTGTTGCATTGTTAAACTTGTCAAAGCTTAAGAATATGTATGAGCACCCAGATATGTATCTGTGTATTTCTGTATCTCTGTATGTACATATTAATGTAAAGACAGCTCAGTTCTTTTACTAGAACACAGTGTGAGGGGTTGTTTTAAATACTGCTTTAACGGCACAGTTTGGGTTAAGAATGTGAGGAAGATGAGAAGACTTAGTATCACTTGCTGCTTCTCTTGTGATTCACAGTTTTAATCTCACACACCTTTTGAGCAGATAACCTAGCATGTTATCTTGGCGATTAAACAGCCGTATGAGTTGAGTACCGCGTCTGTTGATTGTTACCATCCAGACTTCCAGTGCTTTGGAGCTTCCTGTTGAACGTTTTCTGAGATGGTACCGAAGCTCTCCTACACTTTGTCACCTTAGAGAAGAAAGCTCTCCATATATTAGCAGCTGGTTGTGAATGGGTCTCTGGTGGTGTGTTCTTGGAGAGGCTTTGAGCACCAGGACCCCCTGTGAGAGCTGCTCCTGTCCCGGTCAGAGGGTCTTCTCTGATGCCCAGGCCCCCTTCCTCACAGTTCCTGGGACTGAGGAGCGGGTCCCAGCTGCCTGGGACACAGCGTTGGCCAGTGTGTTCTCCCCGCGGGCCTGGCTGTCACAGGTGCTAACGATGCCTTCTAGGAGGAGGTTCCCACGGCGTGGTTTCTCCCCGCCCCGGCTGTTGCATTATTGACTGTGTTTTGCTGGCGTCTGCGTGGATGTCCTGGTTCAGAGCTGGGTGCTGTGGCAGCTGGGGTTAGGGGTGAGGCCCTGGCGTGTGAGCGGCTGGGTCTGGGAGTGGCTCGGTGAGCAGTGTAGGACTGAGGTGGTTCAGATCTTGGGGTGACCTAGCACGTAGGTGTGTGTGCAGTGGGGGTGCTGGGCTGTTTGTCCTGCTGTAAACACTAACTTTCCTTTCTTGTTTGTAAAACTGGACCTGAGAACGCTGTAGTTCCTTCTTGATTGCTGATGTTAGCACATTTAAACCCCTAGTGAGAACCCCAATACTGGGCTTGTTCACAGACTTTGCTTTGCAGATGCGCAGATCCAGGCCCCCGGTGGGCATGTTACACACGCTGGGAGCAGCTGAAAATAGTCTGTCTTCAGAGTTAAAGGCCTGGCAGCCATGCTGTCAAGTGGGTCCTGAGGATCTGTTTTCAAAAAGGAAATAGTAACCATGTACAGATTATTCTTCTGAAGCAAGACTTGCTGTGTAGACATAGTGCTCTTCCTTTGCCGGTTACCCGCTGGTGTGACAGCTGCTCGGGGCCCCTGCCCGAGCACCCGACCCTGGCGTGGGCCCAGGCTGCCTCTGTCAGCTGACTGACTTGGTGGCACTTTGCCTCACTGGCTCTCATTACTGTTTATGGATGGAAATGATGGGATTTTCCAAGATTCTATCACTTTAGCTAGTGTTCACGTAAGTTCTTTGATTTTAGCCTAATTGTGTCCATATTTTACAAGTTTCATTTTTTTGATGAGTTGATGAAATTCATGGGAGGGAAGTGGCTTTGGTGGTTCAGACTCTTCAGCCCAGGATTCCCTGCAGACGTCAGTTAGCTGTTGCTGTGGGGACAGTGTCTAGGAGTGAACTCTGTGTCACTAACACGCTCCTCTTGGTCTTTCAGTGACGCGGCAGAGACGAGAGGCGGACGCGGCGCTGTTCTCAGAACTCCACAGGAAGTTGCATTCCCAGGTACCGTGCAGAGACCAGATGGTGACTGTGACTGCCCCGCACGGCCAGTGCTCAGGCTTGGGTGATGGCCGCGGGGTGTCCAGTGCTGCCAGGATTAGAACTTGTGGTCCTTCCCAGTCCTCTCTGCTTGTCCGGTGTCCCCTCACAATAGGCTGAACCTTGTTTGCTGAGCGTGTTGGTTCCTTATTGCCGTTGGGTTTACTTGGATTCATTGCTTTAAGTCTATTTTTCCATTTTTGATAATATATATGAAGTTACAAAGAAGAAACTTTTTTGTATGGTCATTTTTAGGCAAATAGTTTCAAACTGCTGTATCATTTGCTTTTCCTAAATTTTCCTCTTTTTAAAAGCAGCTCCATCTGTACACTGAAAATTACTAGGGTCTGCTTATCAGGTGTCATATCCCATGGTGCTCATAAGCCTTACCAAGACTGTAATGTGAGAGACCTGGGTTTGATCCCTGGCTTGGAATGATCCCCTGGAGAAGGGAATGGCTCACTCACTCCAGTTTTCTGGCATGGAGAATTCCATGGACTGTATAGTCCGTGGGGTTGCAAAGAGTCAGACATGACTGAGCCACTTTCACGTTCAAGATCCTGAATGGGAGATTCATCAGTGAAAGCTATTGTATCTTAGCATTGGCCGTTATGTGATCACACATTTAGGCGGTTTGATTTGGATGGTTGCTTTCCACAGTTCAGTTTGGAACACTGAATGCTTACTCCTGAAGTAGTCCTGTTTTAAACAGTAGCCGACTTCCTGGGGCTAGGAGACCCGTTGGGCTCAGAGCGTGGCCGAAGGAGGGTGGGAGGTGTCAGGGAGCCGTGTGCCCGCTCCTTTGTGTTGCTGAAGCATCTGGTTCTTGGAAGCTGCAGTTGTGGTCGCTGTTTCGTCCTCTCCTGCCCGTCAGGACCTCTGATCAGGGTGTCCGTGGAAACTGGTGGGATCTATGTGACAACCGTGCACGAAACCTGGGGTGACTGCTGACTTCTGAATGCTTCATGACCTGGGTCTCCCAGGAATGCCTGATGCCGAGACCCACATCTTAGACTTTAGAATTATTTTCTTTTTTCCTGATATTCCTTTGTTATGGCCTAAGTCAGGCTTAAGTAGGGGGAGGCATGCACACATTTTATGATGGCACTATTCTGATAATCGCAGTGTTGGGAAGCTGGCTATTGAGAGCACTATTTCAGGGAGGACTTGCGTGCGTCGGGCATAGGGTAATCTAAAAGCATGTGCACATCGGCCTTGGGGTTAGAGCTCAGGAGTTCAGGGTTCCCAGGGGCTTGAGCTCTGAGAACATTCTCTCACTTGCTGATAGTAGCACTATGGCGGTGCCTGAAAATGGGTGCGTTCCGGCGCGATGTCCCCGGGTGAATTTTAAAATGCATTTCTGTTTTGGGAAATTAGAATAGTTTAGGAGAGGGAAAGGTAAAACTGCGGAGTAGTACAAAGTTTTTCTTCTAATGTTTTCTTTCTCAACAGGGAGTTTTGAAAAACAAATGGTCAATTCTCTACCTCCTGCTAAGCCTCAGTGAAGACCCACGCAGGCAGCCGAACAAGGTGAGGCTCTGTCTTCACACTGCGGTGCCGTCTTAAGGTTCGATGTCTCCTTGGGACAGTTACGCCAAGTTTTGATAGGAATTGACTTCTGTACTTTAGAAAATAATATTAGAAAAGCAAGGAACTTGACTTGTCTAGTTTTCTGGGTGGCCATGAGGGTCAAGAGTTTTTTTTTTCCCTTTCTTTGTTTTTAAGGGTGTTTTTAGTCAGTGTGCTGTGTTTCCTTAAGATGTCCTTGAGAATCATGTTATAATATTGCTTCAAATATAATATCTGGTTAAGTAGAGCATGAACTAGCGGTGTTCAGATTTTTATTGTGTAAAGTTACTGTTAGCCCAGCTTCATTATTCTTTGAGTCAGAAGATTTTTTAGGGTTTTCTTTTGTTTTTTAATATCATGATGAGCGTTAATTACTGTTACATCCTGAAAAGTTCATTGTCTGTGGGTTCAGGTTTGACCTGTGCAGTGTTTGAAGGTGAGATTGGACAGTTGCCTGAGTCTCCGAGGGTCTGGTGTAATGAGGTGCCCCACCCCAGAAATCTGAGAGCTTAGAAGGTTGGAGAGTGTGTGTGAGCGAGTCAGATTTACCTTGAAAGCCGCAGTCTTGAGTAACGAGCCTTCTTTCCTTATATAATGCCAGACTTTTAAAGCTATTTGAGTAATTATTTGACTTTTAGTTTGCTTAGCTTCTGAATAAAGTGTTTAGTTATGAGACCATGTGGGAGTCTTAGGATTTAGAAAGCTTTCTAAATCTTCTATTGGTTCAAGCATACTTCAGAAATACAACTGATTTATCGTTTAATAAATATAGCACATCCTTTGTCGTGCTTCGCAGATGCTACGTTTTTTGTTTTTTTGTAAGTTGAAGGTTTGTGGTAACTGCCTTGTCACATGATAGTTAGCATTCTTAAGCAGTAAGGTGTTTAAGATGTGCGTGTTGCTTTAGAGGCTTGGTGCTGCTGTCCGCGCAGCAGATGGAGGGTAGTGTAAGCACGATCTGCAAGTGCAGTGGGAAGGCGGACGTTCGTGTGACCTGCTCCGTCATTTGCTTTGCGGAGCTGGTCTGGACTGTCTCTGAGTTCTGCCTGTGTGACTCCAGGCACAGAAACGGAGCTAAAGAGAGAAAGAGAGATGGAGTGTGAGTTGTCTGTCAGCTGGGGAGAATGTCGTGTGATTCTGTATCTGCATTCGCGATGCGTTTCTTTTCAGGTCTCCAGCTATGCCGCGCTGTTCGCTCAGGCGTTACCACGCGATGCCCACTCCACGCCCTACTACTACGCCCGGCCGCAGACCCTGCCCCTGAACTACCAGGAGCGCAGCACCCCGTCGGCCCAGAGCTCGGGCAGCCTGGGCAGCAGCGGCATCAGCAGCATCGGCGTGCACACCCTCAATGGCCCGCCCCCGCCGCCCCCGTCCCTGCTCCCGGGGTGAGCCCGCACTTGCCCGGGTCCTCCGGGGTGGGGGCACAGCGGCCTCTGTCTCAGTCCGGCGTTTCGTCTTCAGAGCCTCATGCGCGTGGGGGTCTCTAGGCGCTGGGTCCGACGTGCTCTGTGGTGGGGGTCACCCGTCTAAGCACGCCCGCTGGGTCGCTTCCGTCCTCGTGGACCGTCGGGTCGGCTGCCTCCTGACCTGGTAACACACCCGGTGCGGGCAGGACCGGCTCGCAGGGAGGCGTGCGGCGCCTTCATTGGTGGGAACTGAGAGTAGGCTCTCGTATCCGCCATCAGACGATGTTTTCCACGTGATCATAATCCGGTGATAGTTAAGTCGTTGTATTAGTCAAGTGAAATTTTATTAAAGTTATTGGAAAATAGAATGTGTGTCCAGACACAGGGATTATAAACAGTCTAGCATTTTAGAAAGACAGTCTCATACACCCCAGAATTTAATCTCAAATTCATATTTTGGCTGAAAGACTCTGGCTGAAACATACTTTCTTATTTTTACCTTTAATATAAGTAGTTGAAATAATTATTGTCATGATACTGAGAAAGTGGTGTAGAGAACTGTGAACTGAAGTGGTCTTTTAGACTTTTCCTTACATTTAGAACTATATTCAAAACCACAGTTTGATTTAGTGTCTCCCCTGCCAAGGGGAGGGGAGGAGGTCGGGCTGTTCTGGTTCCATCTGGAGTTCCCTGGTGGGCCGCTCACGGGGCGCTTGGGTCACTGAGCACCGTCCTAACCTGGGGTGGGCCTCTCCTTACGGTTGGTGTTGCCGTGTGTTTAACACTGATTGCAGATCACACTGTTTTTCTGCGTCAAGTGCTGTGAAGGCTGAGAGATAGTGAGGACAGAGCAGGGGGCAGTAGCGTCGGTTTTTACTCAACAAACGTTGATGTGTTTCCAGGGCAAAATCAGTAGTGAATCCTAGAGTATCTGAGCTGGGAATGTATGTGGGTGTTTGCAGGCAGAGCCGGGTCGCCTTGTGACTGTGCTGGGAGGGCTTGCAGGCGGCGGGAGGAACCCGGGGGGACCGCAATCGGGGAGAGACGTCCACACAGGTCTCAGGCTCACACGGGTCAGTTGCTCAGTGTGGTGACTCGGGAAGCATGTCCGCAGTGTCTCAGCGACCTCTGTGACTAGCCTGGCGTGCGGGACCCAGCAAGCACTTCCTCTTTTCAGACAGTCTCACCCGGGCCCAGGGATGGGCGACTGTCTCCGGCAGCAGCTGGGCGCCCGTCTGGCGTGGACGTTGACTGCAAGCCAGCCTTCCTTACAAACCACTACCTCCAAAGGCGTCCCCAGCGCGGCTTCCCGCAACGTGACGCGGCCGCGGAGAGATGGGGATACAGGTGGTGAGTGAGGATGGGCTCTGGGTTTCCAGGGGTTCCAGCCGACAGGCGTCTCCGCGCAGCGCCATGTTCTGAGTCTGGCCTTGCCGCCCAGCCCCGCCCGCTCTCAGGACTGCCGGGCGTGGCCCTGGGTGTCCCCCCTCCTCCCTGACGACAGGCCAGGCCGGCCCTTTTATGTTTATCTTGTGTTTGTGGAGGGTTGGCCCCACTGTGCTCTAATGGGGCCTCTCCCACTGGAACCTCGCATCTCCGGGCCTTGCCTCCTTGTGATATTGGGTGACAGCTGAATTCTCAGCCGGCCTTTGTTCCAAGGTTTGTGGGGCTCATAAACCCTCTCTGGTGTGTTAACGCCTTTGCTGTGGTGGGGACGGCTCCAGGCCCACAGGCCTGCTGTGTAGTCAGCTTTCTAACACCATGTGAGGATATTATCCATCCCTCTGGGCTGACTCGTGCTGCTCCCAGATCATATGTTGAACTCCCGCAGAGTGCTTTGTCTTTAAAAAAAAGACTTTGGAAGACAAATTATCTCCATATGCTTTTCAGAAAATGCTTTTTTAAAAAATATAACTTCATATTCTTTTTATCTTAAACTCATTTAGCTTTTAAATTTTGTTCTGGTTGTAAATATATTATCTAAAACAAATCGTATCATGCAGTTCATCTTACGGATGCCGTGTTACAGGTGCTGTGGAGGTCACTGAGGCAGCCCTTGTGAGAGACATTCTGTACGTCTTCCAGGGCATAGATGGCAGGAACGTCAAGATGAGTGCTGCTGACAACTGTTACAAAGTGGAGGGGAAGGTACGGTCCCTCGACCCGCTGCAGCGCTCAGCGGGTGTCAGCTGAATGCCCCCATGGCCAGGCGGGAGCCACTGGTCTGGGAGGTGCTGCTGGGCGACGCGGGTGGTCTGCAGGTGGCGGTCCTGGCCCCGTGCCCTCTGGTCCTCTGCGGTCACTGCTTGCATCCTGACACTGGTGCCAGGGTTACCTGACGGACCGCTGTCCTGGCATCCTTGCTGCTGACACGGGTCCCACGTGAGGTGCGCCTGCTCAGTTTGGTTCCTCTGGAGCGTGCCTTTCTCACAGTCCTTTTTGTTGACTGTCTGTCCTTCTCTGACTCTGAGCTGAGACTCAGGCAGCTGACATCACAGACTGAGCCTGCTGCGCTGGGCACTCCTGGGTGGTGGGCCTCCAGCCTGACGCTTGCCTGCAACAACGGTGCTTTCTGTGTCCTGGGTCTCACTGTCTTCACTTCAGTGATGCTGTGTTAGTTATCTTTAAGTTTTGTGTTGAAGCCTAAGAATTATAAATATAAAAGTAAAAGTTGTTGAAAAAAAGTAATAATTAAAATTCCAGTGTTAAAGTATTTTTTTTAACTGTTGACATGTTTCTTTTTAGGCAAATCTGAACAAATCCTTGAGGGATACAGCTATGAGGCTGGCTGAGTTGGGGTGGCTGCACAATAAAATCAGAAAGTACACCGACCAGAGAAGTCTGGACCGTTCGTTTGGACTTGTTGGCCAGGTGTGTTCCTTGTTAATAAGACACCTGGGAATTTGAGTGACATTCACCTTGGGAAGTGCTTAATCTCCTTAGAATCTCATATGAAAGTCATTCTCAGGAGGGCTTTTTTTACATGAAGCAGGTTTGATAATACACTGTGTCAGCTATGGTCCACTCAAGAAAATAAAAAACATAGTAAATACTGACACAGGTAATCAAACAGGAATTTTTTTTAATGTTTAATGGATTAGGAACACTGACCTGTCTGAGTCACTTTACGTATTTTAATGCTTTCCCTTTGACCTGATTTTCTCAGTTAAAAAATAAATTAGTTTAATTGAAGGATAGTTGGTTTACAGTGTTGTGTTTCAGGTACATATCAAAGTGACTTGGTTACATATATGTCACGTTGCTTCTGTCGTGTCCGACTCAGTGCGACCCTGTGGACTGTAGCCTGCCAGGCTCCTCTGTCCATGGAATTTTCCAGCAAGAATACTGGAGTGGGTTGCCATTCCCTACTCGGAATGATCTTCCCGACTTTGCTGTTCACCTGAAACTTAACACAGTATTGTAAATCAGCTACTTCCATGAACCAGGTTAAAAGGGGTGTAGCTGAAAGTACAGCATCAGTGTCTAAAGGGAACACCCTTCAGGTTATGAGCAAGGCGTTGCCTCTCTCCACTGCGCTCCTGCAAATCCGGTGCTGAGATGATCTCCCCACCACTGTTAGTTGTGTGTGCTGTGGTGGTTCACCTGCAGGAGCGCTGTGGACAGAAGCAGACTCATCTCGGCCCTGAGTTCTGTCTCAGAGCTGTCCTGCACGGTTGGGCGGCGTCGCCGTGTGGTGACCATCCTGAGCGCAGTGACCGCCTCCTGCCTCTTTCTCTACAGAGCTTCTGTGCGGCCTTGCACCAGGAACTCAAGGAGTACTACCGGTTACTCTCCGTTCTGCACTCCCAAGTAAGCCCGTGTTTTTATTTCATCATGATCTGAAATGTTACAAAGTTCCTCTCTCCAGAATTCTTACATCTCTTCATACGCTAATCTTAAGATTTGATGGTCCTGTTGGAAGGATTGGGCCCCTGTAGAGCTGTGGTGTGTCCTGGAGTCAGCTCTCGGCTCACTTTAAGGGTCCTGTCCCCCTGAGGCAGACCTCCTGTATCTTGAAGGAGCTGTCCCCTCCCAGAGGCCCTCTGTCTCGTTTATGTGAGGATCACCCCTTCCCTGGGACTTTGTGTGGGTTAAGACGTGACTGAGCTCCTGGGTGGCTGTACTCAGGCGTTCTTTTGTTCCTGATTTTCAGCTGCAGTTGGAGGACGATCAGGGTGTGAACTTGGGCCTCGAGAGCAGCTTGACACTCCGGCGCCTCCTGGTGTGGACCTACGACCCCAAGATAAGACTGAAGACCCTGGCGGCCCTGGTGGACCACTGCCAAGGTCATTCCGCTCGGTTCCAAGGCGTCTCTGGGGAGCGTCACCGAGGCTTGTCTCTGTGTCTGCCCTTCATGCGCAACAGCCGGAAGGGTGCTGCCACAGACAGACGGATGGACTTGGACTTTCGGGGGGGGTGACCGTGGGCCAGGAGTTATGCCTGTGGCGCTCAGGTCCTCCCTGAGGTGAGGGCGGGGAGGGGCTCTGGTTCCCAGAGGCCCCCTGTGCCCGGAGCCCCCAGGGCACAGGGCTCGTAGGGGCTGCCCTTCCTCTGCCGCCTCTCCTTGGCCTCCCACCCAGGTCTGGCTCGGCAGCCGCATCGCACGCCCCCCATGTGCATCTGCCTGGGCTTCTCCCGCCCTTGACCTGTGTTTCGGTACTTTCCTCTCCGCGTGTGCTCCCCTGGCCGGGAGCCCCTTGCTCTTTCCCCCTCACTTTGTCTCTGTGCCTTGGCGTTGGCATTCGTGTTCAGTTGCTGGCTTCTGTGTCCCCAGGAAGGAAGGGAGGCGAGCTGGCCTCGGCTGTCCACGCCTACACCAAGACCGGGGACCCGTCCATGCGGTCGCTGGTGCAGCACATTCTCAGCCTGGTGTCGCACCCCGTCCTGAGCTTCCTGTACCGCTGGATCTACGACGGCGAGCTGGAGGACACGCACCACGAGGTGAGGGCCTGCAGTGCCTCCTTGGAGCCGCGGGGCGCCGGGCGCACCCACGGGCCAGACCTGCAGGCGTCTCCTCGGAGCCGCGGGGCGCCGGGCACACCCACGCGCCAGACCTGTGGGCGTCTCCTTTGAGCCGCGGGGCGCCGGGTGCACCCACGGGCCAGACCTGCGGGCGTCTCCTCGGAGCAGCGGGGCGCCGGGCGCACCCACTGCGGGCGTCTCCTCGGAGCAGCGGGGCGCCGGGCGCACCCACGGGCCAGACCTGCGGGCGTCTTCTCGGAGCAGCGGGGCGCCGGGCGCACCCACGGGCCAGACCTGCGGGCGTCTTCTCGGAGCAGCGGGGCGCCGGGCGCACCCACGGGCCAGACCCGCGGGCGTCTCCTCGGAGCAGCGGGGCGCCGGGCGCACCCACGGGCCAGACCTGCGGGCGTCTCTTCTGAGCAGCGGGGTGCCGGGCGCACCCACGGGCCAGACCTGCAGGCATTTCCTCTGAGCAGTGGGGCGCCAGGCGCACCCATAGGCCAGACCTGCAGGCGTCTCTTCTGAACAGCGGGGCGCCGGGCGCACCCACGGGCCACACCTGCGGGCAATTCCTCTGAGCAGCTGGGCACCGGGTGCACTCACGGGCCAGACCTGCAGGCGTCTCCTTGGAGCAGCGGGGCGCCGGGCGCACCCACGGGCCAGACCTGCGGGCGTCTCCTTGGAGCAGCGGGGCGCCGGGCGCACCCACGGGCCAGACCTGCGGGCGTCTCTTCTGAACAGCGGGGCGCCGGGCGCACCCACGGGCCACACCTGCGGGCATCTCCTCTGAGCAGCTGGGCACCGGGTGCACTCACGGGCCAGGCCTGTGGGTGTCTCCTTGGAGGAGGGAGGCGCCGGGTACACCCACAGTCCGGGCCTGCAGGCGTCGACTTAGACCAGCGAGGCGCCGGGCCCCCCCACAGGCCAGCCTACCGACATGGCGTCGAGCAGAGCCGTGCATTTGGTGGGAAATGGTTCTTCCCGCAACTCAGTAGTCTGGACATGTCCCTGCTCCTCAGCGCGCTGGCGGCAGAGCCGGGGCCTGGGGCCCTGAGTCCTGGTCTGTGCTGGAGGCGGGCCTTGTGTGTTCTCCTGCCTCGCATGGTTACTGGTTACCTGAGCCAGGCTGTTTATATGTGTGTTTGTATTCTACCTATTGAAACACGCTTAGTTCTGCTAGAAAGCAACGTATTTGTCTGAAAGTCACTTACCCAGAGTCGTCCAGTGAAACCACAGACTTCTGACAGAAGTAGAGAGGGCCCCACGCTCGGCAGTGTCACTGTGTCATGTTAGTAAAGGGGAGGACTAAGTGGAAGTTGTAGCTTTAACACACAGTAAGCGGTTAAGAAATAAGCAGATTCTAGCATGAACGTGGCCCTGACTTTGGCAAAGCCCAGGGGTTGGCAGGTGGGTGTGGGTGGAGTGGCAGTGGGAGGTCCTGGCCCTTGTGGCCGGGCTCCTGGGTTCACCTCATTTCTCGTGGGTGAAACTGCATGTGACTAATGGAAGCAGAATGACCGCAGATGGCCCTGTTCCCTGGTGAGCACACACGGGGCCCCACGCGTGTGTTCTGGTCGCCCTGTTCCCTGGTGAGCACACATGAGGCCCCGCGCGTGTGTTCTGGTCTCCCTGTTCCCTGGTGAGCACACAGGGGGCCCCGCGCGTGTGTCCTGGGCACCTGTTCCCTGGTGAGCACACACGGGGCCCCGTGTGTCTGTTCTGGGAGCCCTGTTCCCTGGTGAGCACACATGGGGTGTCCCTGTGTGTTCATTCGGGCGCTTTGCAGGCCCCCCCCACCCCCCCCCGTGGCGTGGCTCCTGTGTGGATGCGGCGCTTTACCTGGCGACTCTCGTCTGAGCAGATCGTGTTCTTGTTGTGTGTCTTCACTGATGTTAGTGAGGCAACCGTGCCTTCATGCGCCTCTGTGTGTGTTTCTGAGCATCTCTGAAGTCAGTCCTGGGAGGTGGGCTCTCTTGGGGGTGGGGGGTGGGTGCACCTGCAGGTTTGATTTTGTCTCCAGTGCTGGGGGACTGTCCCACCCACCCTGCACCCCATGGGCTTATCCCAGCTTCTGTGCGCTTCACGTGACACACCTTGAGCAGGACTGTTTTTCATCTAACCCTAATCCCGGGCTTTTCTTGTGGGCCTCCCAGGCAGCTCTCTTGAACACTCATGTTTCCCTGCTCTTGGGACACTCCCCTCTCCCTGCTGCTACAGAGGGAGGCCCGGTGACCTGCCTTGACTGCCTCTGGGTGGGACTGACCTGCACCCCAGGGAGGAGTTTTCACTCTTTTTTCCTGAAAGAGAAAATTCCAGGTGACCGCTGAGCGTTGCTACTTCTGCGGCATTATTAAAACTGCCTCTGGGCCCGCTAGTTGGGCAAGACCAGAGCCCTGAAAGTCTTCTGAAATAGGCGTTTCTCCAACAGAGACGTCCAGATGGTCAGCAGGCACATGAAGGGATGCTCAGCGTCGCCAGTCGTTAGAGAAATGCAAACCGAGACCACCCGGTTGTTTGTGAGGTATTATGGTACTTCACACCTGTCAAGTTGGCCATCATCAAAATGACAAGAATGGCAAATGTCGGCGAGTGTGGAGAGAAGGGAACCTGTTGATGGCAATGTAAATTGGTGCAGCCACTGTGGAAACAGTATAGGCATTTCTCAAGGAATCCCACTTCTGGGTGTGCAGCCAAACAGAAATACTCATTTGAAAAGATGTGTGCACTCTGCTGTTTGCAGCGTTGTTTCCAGTTGCTAAAGTGCAGAAGCAGCTTAAGTGTCCGTCAGCAGGTGAATGAGGAAAGAAGCGACGTGTGTCTCTGTAGTAGAACACTAGTCACCATAGGAAAGAGGGAGGTTTTGCATTTGCAGCAGTGTGGGTGGGCTTGGAGGGACTTTATGCTTAGTGAAATAAGTCACAGAAAGGAACATCCTGTATGGAGTCAGTGCTTACACGCGGAGTCTAAAAAACACAGCAGACTAACGAGTGTAACAGGAAAGAAGCAGACTTGGATGTAGAGAATGAGATGGAATTTACAGAAATAAAAGCACGCGTCTGTTAGGGCTGTGACTGAACAGGAGAGCATCCTCGGCACAGTAGCAGAGGAACTGGAAGCAGTGGCGACGTGGTTTCCTCTCTCCTTCTCGCCCAGAGTGCTTTCTGCCGTTAGCCGTCAGGCTGGTGCCTGGGCTGGTGGGGCTGAGGAGGCAGACCAGGAAGCCTCTGAGTGTGGCACTTCTCAGGGCAGAGCCGCCCCGAGAAGGCCACTGCCCGCAGCGCTGCTGGGTGGCTGGTGCTGGCCACGCGCAGGTCAGGACCTGGCCACGTCCGCCCCCTGAGCTGTGTGCCTCAGGCGGGGCGCCTGTGCTCCAGAGCTGGGCCCCTGCAGGGGAGACGCAGTTGTTTGGTGCAGGAGGGCAGGAACACTCTGGGTCAGCTTGAATTGACAATTCAGACGGGCCCAGGGGCCTGGGAAGAGTCCCTGCGGGTTAGCACCTCCCTTGCCCACCCTTCATGTACACAGCAGGGGCTGTGGTTGAAGGACCGCCTCGTGTCTTAAGGAAAAAGCTTGTCTTAGCTCCCTTTTGTTACAAGAAATGGGGAGTAAGTGATTGCGTTTAGAGAGATCTGTCAAAAATGCCCTTTAAAACAAGTTTTAATGTAAACGGTAGGTCCCCCCGTATCTGGAGTTCTAGGATTGCTTGTGTTCTGCTGTGCAGTTAGTGAGCACTTTGCTGGAAGCATCACTTTGTCGCGTCTCACTGCCTCCTCACTTGCAGTTCTTCGTGGCGTCGGATCCGACTGTGAAGACGGACCGGCTGTGGCATGACAAATACACGCTGCGCACGTCCATGATCCCATCCTTCATGACGATGGACCAGTCCCGGAAGGTGGGCTCCCGCGGCCCAGGCGTCAGTGTGCGCCTGCCCCCGCGGACAAGGCCAGTCTTCAGGGAAGCATGTCTTCTGGCCTTTTAGGGTTTGCGTTCTTGAGGTGAAGTGTATGTTAATTGACTGCATCAACCTATATTTGTATGTGTTTTGTTAATAGTTTTTTCAGGTCCTGGGCTTCACTTGATAACTATTCGCAGTGTTCCTGCCGTTTAGTTTTTAGTCAGTAGAAGAATTTGTGGCTTGTGAATGTTTGTAGAACTGGATGTATGATCGTTTTAATTCTGAATAAAGGTAACTCCAGGGAGTTTTCCTCTTCTAGGTCCTTCTGATAGGAAAGTCGATAAATTTCCTGCACCAGGTGTGTCACGACCAGACCCCCCCCACAAAGATGATCGCCGTGACCAGGTCTGCGGAGCCCCTGCAGGATGGTACGGGGCAACGGTGGCAGGGAGCCTGCTCCTGCACACTGGGGGTCTCCTCGCTCGCTCAAGTGTCGTTAGGACTTCTAAGTAGAATGCAGTATTGAGATGTACTGAGATGTATTTTGTACGTGGTTTTGGGTTACGTGGGTGTGAATCCGCATCAAGAAGCTCCTCGTGTGTATCAGCTCCAGGTGCCCCCCCTCCTCTGTCGGAAGCTGGGGATACCAGCTGAGGGCTCGGTCTATCCGCCCCGCGTGCTGTCCCCCAGCTGCCCTAGTGGTGTCTGGCCTCCCCGGGGCCTATGATGCCCTGATGTGGCTGCGTGCTGACGGCACCTAGCCTTCACGCCAAGAAGTGTCATGGCCATGGCGCCCGTAACACGTGCTGTCTCGGGTTTATCCTCGAGAGAGCTCTGACACCATCTTCCCCACCATCACCCTGACCCGCCCCGCGCCCCCAGAACCAGTGTTTCAGTGCAGCCTGGAGTTGGCTCCGCTGTGGAAGGGCTGTGACCTTTAAATCTGTGACATGACGAGCAGTGCCCTCTGGTCTCCCCCAGGTGGGAACACAGGTGTCTGCTTCATGTCCAGCATCAGCAGCGTTTCGGGGTCACAGCTGGGGACGCTGGTGGCCCCGACGGTTCCCATGGCCTGTCTTGGAGCCATGGGCGGGCGGGGGCCGACGCGTGTGCGTGTGAGGAGCCGCGGGCGGGCGGGGGCCGACGCGTGTGTGTGAGCCTCTTGTTCCTCCTCCGTGAAACGCGATTATGTGTGTGTGTGCTTTCCCCTTTTGTTCTTCACAGCTGCAGACTTATTCACAGATTTGGAAAATGCGTTTCAGGGGAAAATTGACGCAGCTTATTTTGAGACCAGCAAGTACCTCCTGGACGTCCTGAGCAGGAAGTACAGCTTGCTGGACCACATGCAGGCTGTGCGCCGGTACCTGCTGCTCGGCCAAGGGGACTTCATCCGGCACCTGATGGACTTGCTCAAGTGAGCCGGCGCCTGACGCTCCCGCGTGCGGTAGATTTCAGCACGGCCTAGGGTCTTGCGGTTGTTTAAACAGCGAGTGCCACTAGAGATTTGTTGAGTTCTCTTAAAACCTTGGGAAGATGAAGTCTCGTCAGGTCGTCACGTCAGTCCCTCCGGCTCTGCCTGCCTGCTCACGGAGGCACGTGTGCTGTGAACACAGGCCCCGGCGGGCGTGAGGGGCGTGCCCCGCTCTGGTGGCGCAGCTTTAGGTGGACGCTGTCTGTAGGGCAAATGGGGGCCAATGTGAGTGTGTGGGGGGAGTGGGCGTGTCTGAACGTTCAGGCCACGTTACAGATCTCGTCATCTGGGTGACTCACCCGTGTTTGCCTTGTGCTTAGTTTTAATAACTGGAGCGTCTCATCCTTGGTATCAAACGAAAGCTTCGTTTCTTCTCCAAGGAGCGTCTCCAGTTTCTAACTTAGAAGGAGGCGCCATCCCTGACCAGCTTGCCTCAGGTCCCCTGAGCGATGCTGGCGTTGTTGGTCTCCTCAGCCTTTCCTGCCGACATCCTGTGCCGTGAAGGCTGCGGGGGCAGTTTCTGTGCACCCCTGGGGAGGGCGGGCTGTGCTGTTAAACTCAGGCCGCGCTCAGCCGGAAAGATGTTAGCATCGTGAGTGGGGACGCGGATGTCACTCATCCTCAGGGTCTGCTGACGGTGCGGATACGTGGTGTCCAGTCCTCCCACGGGAAATCTGCAGGTGGCTCCAGGGGTTCCTGCTGCTCCAAGGCCGGGCTTAAGTTAGAAACAGTGTTTGTTAACATGCGGCGTGTTAAGTGTTTCAGGAATTAAAACATTCAAGGCCCAGTGTTCAACTGAGTCAAAATTAATTATAAAGAAATGTCTTACTGCCCTAAATGCTTGATGAAATCTTACTTACAGTTAATTCTTTGAAACTTCTGTTCCTGTGTTGTATCATTTCCATTTGTCTTTAGTTTTTTTAATTAGAACTCTCTATAATTTTAAGTTTCTCCAGAGATCATTGTGAATTCAAGTAACATTCTCTTTTACTTTTATAAAAATATGTGAAGGCCAGAGCTTGCCCGTCCGGCTACGACTCTGTACCAGCACAACTTGACTGGAATTCTGGAGACCGCCGTCAGAGCCACCAACGCCCAGTTTGACAGCCCAGAGATCCTCAAGCGACTGGACGTGAGGCTGCTGGAGGTACCGACCCTGGGTCCCACGCGGGGCCCGCGAGGCTGTGTCCTCCGTGGGGGTCGAAACGCTGCTGTCGTGTCTGCTCTGGCCTGGGGGGTGGCCTGGAGGGGGAGGTGGTGAATTTGAGCTGGACGCGCCCTTCCTCCCTGTGTGTGCCCGCCACTGTCCAGATGCAGGGCGCGGTGTGGACAGAGATGCACTTCTTTGCTCGCACAGCTGGGGCTCCACACCGCTGAGTGGGTTTAGAAACGGGGCTTCATTCAATGTGTTTTCCTCGGGGTGTGACTGTATGAGGGCTGTGGCCGCGTGGGGGTGGGAGGCCCTGCAGTTGTGTGTGCTCTCTCACAGATCTCTCCGGGGGACACCGGCTGGGACGTGTTCAGCCTGGACTACCATGTGGACGGCCCCATCGCCACTGTAAGACCCGCGGGTGGCTTCAGAGCTGCTGCTTCTCTGACCACTTCTCTTGGAAATGATCGCTTGGCACCAAGACATACCCGGATTCTGTGTGTGTGTGTGTGTGTGTGTGTGCGTGTGCGTGGGAGAGAGAGAGTGCTAAAGCGCTCTGTTATTTTAAGAATTCTTAAAAATATTGTTTATCCTATCGTAGATTTCAGCAGGTGCTTAATAAATGGATTATTCATTTTGTTCCATTATTCTTAGACTGGAGCGACTAATTCAGGATCGTTTGAAGGGAACTATGAAGTATATTTTAGGGCAGTCGTGTTTTTACTACTTAGATAAAATTTGGTGTTTACTATTCGTTTAAACGACTGAGGAGATAGCTGTCCTGTTGTTTGTGGTGCTTCTACCGTGTTTAGAGAAAAGCACTGTTTCCTTGGATGACTCCTGGATCACAAAGGACTGGCCAGCCGAGCTCTCTCCTGCATCTGGGGTTAGACACCCTCTTCATGCCCAGTCTGTCTCGCTCAGACTCGGGTGTGTGTCCTAACCCTCTGACCTTGCTTGTCGCTTTCACTCTGAAGTATTGAAGGCAGACCCCCATTTCTTCTCATTCTCCGGAGATCCTGTGTTGAGACGCTGCATCCCCGGCTGTGCAGCGTCTCCCTGTGGCCTCTGCGGCGGGGTCCTGGCTGGCCTGCCTGTCCGAGCGGCCCGGCTCCCCTGCGGCTGCTGGCTCTGCCGTCCGTCTTCTCCAAGGTGGCAGCTGCCGGGGCGGGTTTTTATACACAGATTCCCAGACCATAGCTGCCGTGTTTTCAATACATAGCTGCTCTCAAGCTTTATTTTTGGTCATATTCAAATTAGTTTTTTCCCCAGTGATGTATATCTTAAACAGTTTTAGTAATTTTAGTGTACAAAACCAGATATTTTAACGAACTGTTGGAAACTGTTCTATCATCTACCATGTTAATATCATATGTTGATGTGTTTTTTTCGTAGTATAAATGATACCATAGCAAAGCCAGCTGCCTTGATTATTTCACAAAATGTGTCTGGAATAACAGCTAAACTGAACTTGGTCTGCATATATAGTTAATTATTATAGTACCGAGGTTGTGCACTGCATGCCTTGTGCATAAATGATCGATCCTGCCATGTTACGTCTTCAGAATGTTAGATTTTTCAAAGCTTGAGTAGAGTTAGGAAAAGAAGTTAGTATCATAGATTTATTTGAAAAGAAATTTGGGATAGATCCTACCTGTGGCTGATAGGCATCGATTTCCATGCCGATGGGAGAGTCTGGGTTGGAAGGACGAGGGGTCTCGTCATTGGTTGGTGGGTGTCCGCCGGGGACTCGCAGGGAAGTGGCCGCTTCCCATCCGGTCTTTGCCCTCCAGCCCTAGGGTGGGCATTTGTCTTGGGTTGGTACGTGCTCAGTTAAATGGCCGTCACACAGAACCTCTGGTCGTCAGGCCAGTCTGCGGAGTGTGCTCTGGCATGTGAGTGGTCAGCGAGGTTGTTACACAATGAAGCTTCCCTAAAATGCACCATGTGTGCTTACATACTGCTTAGAAGGTGTGGGAGTTGGCTCTGTGTCCTCCAGCTTTTGTTTTAGGAATAAAAAGAAGACGGAGCCCTGCCCTGGCCGGACCCTCGTGTCTTGGGATCCCGTCAGTCTGTGCTCTGCTCTTTGCAGGTGTTCACTCGAGAGTGCATGAGCCACTACCTGCGGGTGTTCAACTTCCTGTGGCGGGCCAAGCGGATGGAGTACATCCTCACGGACATCCGGAAGGGGCACATGTGCAATGCCAAGCTCCTGAGAAACTTGCCAGGTACCCGCCCTCCCACTGCGTCCGCAGCCTCTCTAAAGCGGAAGTCCTTAAAGAAATTGAAAAGTGGTTTCTTTTTGTGCTGTTGGGTCTGTCTTTTGTGAAGAGGCTCGTTTGTAATATCACTATCTTGACTTCAGTGCATATCAAGAAAAACAAATTGAGTCAGGTTAGAATCCCATGGGAGGAGGAGCCTGGTAGCTTGCAGTCCATGGGGTGGCTAGGAGTCAGACACGCCTGAGCAACTTCACTTTCACTTTTCCTTTCGTGCATTGGAGAAGGAAATGGCAACCCACTTCAGTGTTCTTGTCTGGAGAATCCCAGGGACGGGGGAGCCTGGTGGGCTGCCGTCTGTGGGGTCGCACAGAGTCGGACACGACTGAAGCGACTTAGCAGCAGCAGCAGCTTGTTTTTAGGCCATGAAGTTTCTTACAGAATCATGCAGTGTTCATACATGTTTAAAACAAACATTAAGGAAAGGAAGCCGTTTAGTAAATCACCAGCTCAGTTATAATTCACTTACTAGTGTTTCAATTAAAATCTATCTGGGAATTGCCTCATATACTGGTTTGGATCATTAACCAGACATGAAAAGATTTTATATTATTTTACAGTTAAAAACTGTTAATAAAACTCTCATGTCAGATAGTCAAGTTTATTTTAATGTTATAAATATTGAATGACTTCAGTTGTGATTTTGAAGTCTTTATATTGAAAGCGATGTGGTCAGAACCTTGGAGAAAGTATTTCCACCAGTGACGTCGCCAGAGAAGAGCAAGCGGTCACGCCCTCAGTCCTCTAGTGGTGGAAGCAGACTCTGTGACGGGGCCCATGTGGGCTCAGCCCGTTCACCAGGCGGAGGCCCCCGAGCTCAGATCAGGGGCAGCCCCGAGGCTGGGGTTGGTGGGCACCCAGCCCTGTGTGATCATGCGGAGTCGAGGCTTGCTGGGTGCCCTTGCTGCCCGCACCCCCGGGCCCCGGCCAGTGGCCCGTGACGCCCTTGTGCTCCTGGCCCGGCTTCCTCTGGGCTCATTTCTGAGAAGGTGGATAGTGGGGCCCCTGAAGTAGCTGGGAGGAGGCCAGAGGGGACGTGTCCTGTTAGATCCTGCCGTGGTTGTGGACGGTAAACGCCTTCAGCATCCCCCTTCTAGTGGCCGTGCGCTGCCTCGCCTGTGGGCCCTTTGGGAGGAGGCGCCCCTGCCATGTTTCTGGCCCGCCCCACCTTCCCTCTGCCCTGCCCTCCTCCCGGTGGCCTGGGGTTCCCATCCTCCCCGCTGCCTGATGTGGGTCCATTCAGTGTGATGGATGGACTTTGTCATTATTTTGCTCTTCTTCTAAATAAGCAACTGTAATGTTTATAGATGTGGGGAAATCTGAGCTCTGTAGCAGTTTAACGTGTTAGCTGGTTGCGGTGCGCTTTCTCGGAGTATCAGCAGTGTCTGTGTGAACTGGCTTCTCTCTTACTTTGCATAATCATCAGTGAGTTTACTCCTCGGAGATAACTAATACATTTATTTGATCAATTTTCTGTGTAATTTTAACTTAATTCTATGATGTCATGTTCAATTTCAGCTTCTTTGAACCTTTTCCCTTGTCATTAAAACTTCTTGTAAAACATTTTTGATAGCATAATATTGCCTCATGTGGACATATTTTATCTTTTCTCTTTGGTTAGTTTTTTTTTTAAACTATTTTCCACTAATATTAATAATGCTGTAAGTGTTTTATAAATATATTTATATGCTTCTGAATATTTCTTTAGAATAGGTGAATTGGAAATGGAATTGCTGTGTTAACAGGTATGACTCTTGCTCTTACTTTATACTTACTAATACTTATATTTGTTAGTATTTACATTTTAACTCTCTTGGTACATATTGTCAGGTTGCTTTTCAGGAAAGCTGTACCGGTTTAATTTACATCCCCACAAGCATAGCTCTCACTGGTCGAAAGTTGTCTGTGTTGCTGGTTGGGGTTTTTTTTGTGGGGGCTAACATTGGATATTATGTTCAAATTGTCAATTTGATAGGTGAAAATTGAGATCCTTTCATTTTTATTACTTGTTACTTTATTTTTTTGGCTATGCCCCAGAGCATACGAGATCTTAGTTCCGACCAGGAATGAAACCTGTGCCCCGTGCAGTGGGTGTGCAGAGTCTTAACCACTGAGCCCCCAGGGAAGGCCCTGGGAGTTCATGTTAACCTCCTTTAATGCTTTGAAACTGCCTTCGACTGTACACCGTCTTCTTTGTGTCATTTGTGTTGCTTTTTCCAGCAAATTACCCTTTTCGCCCTTGATTCTGTTGGGGTACAGGGTTCTTATTTTTAACTTAACTTATAGGGAAGTACTTTATTTGTTGATGGCCAGGCAGCTTGGTGAGCAGAGATCCATCAGGTGGTTCGTCTTGTTAACACAGCAGGTTTAGAAATGTCCTTCCCACTGTAAATCTGAGGCAGAAATACGGGAAGATTCACAAAAGCTCCTGTGAACAGCCTGTGAGCCCTTCACACGTGAGCCTGTCTGTCTGGACACGTGCACAGTGTCCATGATGATCATCCCAGGTATCATTTTAGTAATGTTCATCACAGTCAGTTGTTTGGAATAAATAGGCCTGAAAATGATTTGCTTAGGAGAGTTTTTGATAATGGTCTGCCTAGACGATTAAATCCATTTATGTATATTTAGCTGGACAAAAGAGAATGTTGATCTGAAATGGTTTAAAGATTTTTAAAGATATTTTTTCTTTAAAAAGAAATGGAAATTTTTTCATGAGATTCAGTGAATCTAAAAACTGTTGCTGTTAGTGGCAACTGGATTTATATTTCAGATACGATGTAACCAGATGAGACGGACAGGTGCAGTCCAGACCCACTGGTGAATGAGCTTAGTGTGTTCTTTCTCAGCCTTTGTGTCGGGGGCGGTGGGGGGGGGGAGTGCAGGGAGGCCCCCTCCCCAAAGGATAGTGTTCAAATAGCCCCTTTTGGTCCTTGTTGGAAATAAAACTGAACAGGGAGGAGTGGTTGGCTCCCCGTCACCTCGGGACTGTTTTCCTTTCTTGGCGATGAATATGGTAATGGTCCATCTCACACTTGGAGTGGTTCAGGCTTGTGGAATGGTGGCTCTGAGGTTGGTAGGCGTTCTTCGCTGTGAACTTCCCTTTGTGGCTCATTTTTGTCCCTGTGGAGGAGTAGGTCGTCCTCAGTGACCACACGCCTGTGATGCGTCCTCGTCTTGTTCGCTGGCTTCTAAGCTGGGCGGTTAGCGCTCTGCCCAGCTGCTGGGCAGCACTGCCCAGCCGGGCTGGGACCTCAGCTGCTTCCTGGTCTCCTGCCTCAGTGCCTCACCCGGGCTCCGGGCCGGCCATCAGGAAGCAGCGCTCAGGGGCCCCAGTGGGCAGTGGGTGTCAGATGGGTCTGCAGGAGGCCTGGCCCTGATCGGAGCCCGGAATCCAGGGGAGACCTGAGGTCTTACCAGTGTCCTCTGACTCCAGGGCCTCGAGAAATGAGCTGTGTGGGTCATTGATAAAGTCACGTTTAAATACTGCTGCAGCAGCTATAGATCCAAGTGATGTGAATACCTGGTTTTAGGGTATTTTTGTGTTTTTAACAACTCAAGGCTGTTTCTAGTGTGTCTCCAGTTGGCAGAAGCATCTGTGAACATGCTCAGAGGCCAGCCAAGCCTGGAGGGGTCAAACCCTTGAGAGCTGGTGTGTCTAAAGCCAGCCCTGAAGTTCCTCCTTCAGCCTTGAGGGGGCAGTAGAGAATCGCACACAGTCTGATGCCTGGGTCAGCTGGAGGGGAGGTGGTCCCTCCTGGTGTCTGTGCAAAGCTGTCTGTTGCCCACTCGGTCCAACGGGAGGTGTGCTTACTTGTGTCCTTACTGGACCTCAGGGTTAAGGTTGCTTCGCTCTCGGGATTTTTAGAATTATGTGCATATTTGTGGATCAGTCATAAAAACAGAAGTACTTATGTTTTAACTGGGCTTTAAACGTTATTCCCAAGGCGCTGGGTAGAGAGACTCAGGGCTGCTTCAGGTGTCAGTTGTATTGCTTGGAGTTAAGGACCAGCTGACGGCTTGTGAGCCCAGTGGCCTTGTGCCTCAGCTTCTCCCAGGCCAGGAGCTCTGTGGCCTGCAGAGCACCCACGTGTGGCCTGGCCTCAGCTTGGGGGGAATTCAGGCTCACGGCGCACAGTTCTCTTCACCCTGCTCCTGTGTCTCGCGTGGTCACTCCTCTCTGAGGAGGGATGCAGACGGTTCCTCCCGGAGCCGCAGCTGCCGCGAGCAGTTTGTCTGGGCAGCTCAGCACAGGCCTGGGCTGGCCCTAGCAGCGCGCCAGATCTGACCGGGGGCATGTCTCCTTGTCGGCATCCCTCTAGCGCTGGTCCCTGATGGGGCCTTGGGGACAGTGCTATCCTGTAATGGTCCAGCGGAGTCCCTGAATAAGTGAAAAGTCCAAGCAGACAGCGGCTGCTCCCTGGTGACCCTCCAGGCTTTTGCTGGTTTTATAAAGAACAGGAGTGGATTCTGGACTCTGCCCATCCCCTCCAAGTTCACGTTCTTGTCAGGTGACAAGGTCATATTCCGTAAGGGGATGTCATTTTTGTCTCCAAATAGCTGGGGGATAGCAAGTCTCACGCATGGTAGGCAGACTGACTTAACTGTAAAGAAACCATAAAGTTGATCTTATACAAGATACCGCATTATTATAAAATAACTTTTTCTTCAAGTTCAGTTACGTTGTTTTCCGCGTTTCTTATCAGATCCTCGCGTTCTGTGGCAGTGATGCTTGGTTGGGTGGCCCTGTCTGTCTGCACACGAAGGCTGGCTTAGAAGGCTGCCGGCCTCGGGCCGAGTGTCAGAGCGGCGCTGCAGGAGGACCGCCCCGCCCCGCGGCTGCCCTGGAGTCTGACGGCCGCCCCGCTGTCTTGCAGAGTTCTCCGGGGTGCTGCACCACTGCCACATCCTGGCATCCGAGATGGTCCACTTCATCCACCAGATGCAGTATTACATCACCTTTGAGGTAGGTCCCGTCCAGCCATGTACCCCGATCCAGATGGTGTCCCCGGGCCGCGCCGTGCCGCGCCGCACTGCCTGCCTGCTCCCTCTGGCTCTGGATGTTGGTTCCCGGGCCAGGCCGGTCGCGCAGCCTGCCTGCTCCCCCCAGGGTGTTGGCTCCTGGGCCAGCCGTGCCACCAGCTCCCTCCGGCCCTGGGTGTTGGTTCCTGGGCCGGCCGCGCAGCCTGCCTGCTACCTCTGGTGCCGGGTGTCGGTTCCCAGGCCAGGCCAGCCGCATAGCCTGCCTGCTTCCTCGGGCCCTGGGTGCTGGCTCCTGGGCCGGCCGTGCCGCCAGCTCCCCAGGGCCCTGGCTGCGGTTCTAGGTGCTTGAGTGCTCCTGGGACGAGCTGTGGAACCAGGTGCGGCAGGCGCAGGACTTGGACCACATCATCGCCGCGCACGAGGCCTTCCTGGGCACCGTCATCTCCCGCTGCCTGCTAGACGCTGACTCCAGGGTAAGGCGGACGGACGGACCCGTCACGGTGGCGGGTCAGTGGGTGGTCTGGGTCTCCCGTTGGGGCTGGAGCAGCGGAGCTGAGGCAGGAGCGAGCATGAGGCGGGGAGAGCGTGCTGGGGGGGCAGTGCCATCCTTGTGTGCTCCTGGTGGGGGAGCTGTCCTGATGGACAGTGACCTCTGACCCACACACACCCCCAGGCAGCTCGGGAATGAGCGTTCAGGGCTTGCTTCTTTGTCAGGGGCACGGGTGGAAGCATGGCCTTGGGCCCCGGCTGCAGAGTCAGGACAGGCCATCCATCAGGAAAACCCCCTTGTTGCTGGCAGTCCCTCATGCAGGCCCTGCTCTGAATGTTGTGTCTTACGTGTGCTGAGGCTTCTGGGAGCTTTGATTTTATTCAGAAATCAAAGGGGAAATAAGCAACACTTTGCTTTCACTTGAGATAAATATGAAGTAGGAAGTAGAATTTCAAGTGCATCTTTGACGTTAACTGTGTGACTTCAGTGACATGTCAGGCTTGCTGAGGGCTGCTCCCCACTAAACGTCCGCTTGCCTCAGGAGCCCTTTTGGGGAGCATGATCTTTGCAGGGCCTTTCCTTCCATCTGAGTTTTTGAGTCGGCTGGTTAGCCATCCGTGTCTGGGCAAAGATACTTTGAATTAAGCAGACGTACTGTCACACTTGTTCAAAACCGCCCTTTCATTCTTGGTGCAAAGCGTGGTATGATACCATTTTCTGAAAATCCTTGCAGAATCTGTTTACATTTTTTAAAGAATTTTCTCTCATTTTTCCTGGGTCTGGTTTTGGCATGTCACCAAAAAAAAAAAAAAAAGAAGCTTTCCCGTTTCTTTCTGATCCTCCGAGTAGCTGTACTGCAGACGCGGCTCCGCGCTCCGGGGGTTGGGCAGCATGGGGGCTCCCGAGGTCGCGGCGGGGAAGGGAGGGCGGGGTGGGCGGGCCTGGCTCTGGCCGCTCCCATCACTGTGGTGGCTCAGGGCACGTGTGCTCCTGGGACGGGTGTGGGATGAGTGAGAACAGCTAAGAGCCCCTGAGAGTCAGAGTCGATGTCTGGGTTTACGGTGGCTTTTCGCAAGGGTCAGTGTATTATTTGAAAAGTGTAGTGATTAATATGTGTGTTGGGGGCTCTGTTCATAAAAGGCTGTCCTCTCTCTCCAGGCTCTTCTCAACCAGCTGAGAGCCGTGTTTGACCAGATTATTGAGCTTCAGAGCACGCAGGATGCCATCTGCAGGGCCGCCGTGGAGGAGTTGCAGAGACGCCTGCAGTTTGAGGACAAGAAGAAGCAGCGGGAAGCTGAGGTGTGGTTTGGGGGCAGTTGGCATGTTGGTTTAGGTGGTAAGCGGTTGCCATGGAAACTGCAAGCCTGCAGGGACTCTGCTGTGGTCACCTTGTGTCCCGCCGGGTCCTGAGTGAGCTGGGTGGTCACCGACACCCAGCTTAAAAACAAACGAAGGCCAAGTGCACGGGAAATTTCGGTCTCTGGCCAGTGTCCCTCAGGGAATGTGCAGATGTCCGTCTGCGTCGGTGTCTCCGCTGGGCGGTGCCTGACTCTGCACACACCCATCTGGAGCTGGTGGACACACACGTGCACACAGGAACTGGATTTTTGCACTTTGGCTGTTTTTAGTGACCTCACTGAAGTATTTCATTTATGACCTTGAAGTACAAATATTGAATAAGTTTGGGTCTTCGTAGGATATCTCGTATTGGATATAATCTGTACAGGCTTTTCAGGGTGCTTGTTCTCCAGGTGGTGACGGATGGCTTTTCAGCTGATACAGTTTGGTTGTATTGCATATTTCCGGTCTGTGTCAGTGGGGGTGTAACTTGGAGGACAGCAGCGCATCTGGCAGGTTGTCTTCAGTGTATGTGGATACAGGTGTTTCAGGGCCGTCACCTCGCGGTTCTGACACACGGGGTCCTGGACGCACAGCTGGGAAATCACCTTGCTGCTGCACCGTGGGGGAGAGGCCAGGATGCCCGCTCGAGGCCGTGATGTGCACAGGTGTGTGTGTTGGGGAGGAGGTGAGGTCAGAGAGCAAAGAGCGGGGTGGGCTCCTGCTGGAAAACAAGACTTGTAAACCATAAGACACACGGAAGAATCCTGTATGTGTCCTGCACTCGTGTTCACTCCATTTGCGTTACCAGGAGCAGGGTTTGGCTGAGACATCAGAGCTGGTGACACCCCCCAGGGCCTCCTGGGCAGGATAGCCTAGAGGCCCACGCCCGTCACTGGCTTCCTGCCTTTGCTGACTTGCCCTGCTGGAGCCCAGTTTCCTGATTCACAAAGTGGGAGTGATAATAAGTAAACACGCTCCCTGGAGCACCCATTTTCACATGCTCGTGCGTGTCGGCTGCTTGGCGGGCAGGCAGTATTGTGAAAGCCAGCCATGCTGTGACTCCCAAACTGCCCTGGCCTGGAGAACCTGCCCTTCCTGGGAGCTGTGAGCCTGTACTCTGGGCCTAGGCCTGTCTGCAGACGGTCCCCAATGTGCGCGCTAGCGCCTCTCGGAGCAGACCTGCATGGTGAGGCGGGTTGTTTGGTGTGTAATGTCCAGACGGCAGGAGTCAGCAAAGCTGAAACCACGCCTGAGGGCGATCAACGTTCAGTAGGCTGTGACTTGAGAAACCACCGTCAGACTTGAGGCCCCTGCACATTGAAGGGCCTGTGTGGGGACCTGGGGCGCTGTTCTCTGCTGTCTCCCAGCTTCCTGGAGCACCCACAAGTGTGATCAGGTGTCCAGGATACATACAGGATCCTTCTGTGTATCTCGTGTTTGGAAGTTGTGTTTTCCAGCAGTAGCCCACCCTGTTGTTCGCTCTCTGACCGCTCGCGCCACCCCCCCCCCCCGCAACACACACACCTGTACGCACGTGTGCACACCACAGCCTCGGAGCCCCCCCGTAACACACACACACACCTGTATGCACGTGTGCACACCACGGCCTCGGAGCCCCCCAACACACACCTGTACGCACGTGTGCACACCACGGCCTTGGAGCCCCCCCAACACACACACCTGTATGCACGTGTGCACACCACGGCCTTAGAGCCTCCCCCCCAACACGCACACACACCTGTACGCACATGTGCACACCACGGCCTCAGAGCCCCGCAACACACACACACCTGCATGCACGTGTGCACACCACGGCCTCGGAGCCCCCCCCAACACACACACCTGTATGCACGTGTGCACACCACGGCTTCAGAGCCCCCTCACCCACACGCACACCTGTACGCACGTGTGCACACCATGGCCTTGGAGACCCCCCTCCAACACGCACACACATACACACCTGTATGTACGTGTGCACACCACGGCTTCAGAGCCCCCTCACCCACAGGCACACCTGTACACACGTGTGCACACCACAGCCTTGGAGCCCCCCCAACACGCACACCTGTATGCACGTGTGCGCACCACGGCCTTGGAGCCCCGCAACACGCAGACACACCTGTATGCACGTGTGCACACCACGGCCTTGGAGCCCCCCCCCCAACACGCACACACACCTGTACGCACGTGTGCACACCACGGCCTCAGAGGCCCCCCACACATGCACACCTGTACGCACGTGTGCACACCACGGCCTCGGAGCCCCCCTCCCAACACACACACCTGTATGCACGTGTGCACACCACGGCCTTGGAGCGGGCGTCCCAGCCTCTCCCGCATGGTGCAGCAGCAGGGTGATTTCCCAGCTGTATGTCCATGACCCCGTGCATCAAAACTGTGAGGAGACGACCCTGAAACAGCTCTCCCACCCACGTCTACCTCAGCCTGCGTGCGCCTTTGTCCGGAGTCTGATCTCTGGTTCTCCTGATTCAGGGCCAGTGGGGCGTGACAGCAGCAGAGGAGGAGCAGGAGAACCAGAGGGTCCAGGAGTTCCGGGAGTCCATCCCGAAGATGTGCTCCCAGCTGCGGATTCTGACCCACTTCTACCAGGTGCGTGTCCATACCTTGTACCGTCCCCCACAAGGGACATGTCTGTCGTGGGACAGACAGGCCTCGCTCAGTCAACCCAGCCTCGTCTTTGTGGCTCAGAGGTGGGTCGGAACTCCCAGGCGTGTCCCCCGAGTGGAGGACGGTCTGTGGTGTGAGCAGGGGGCCCACTAGTGACTCAGCCCTGGCCCGGGCCCCGAGGCCTTGGTTTCCAGTGCGCGTCTGTTCCTCAATTCTTGAGTGTTTCCCGTCGGGGCTTCCTGACTCCATGTGCTTTCTAGTCACGTGGAAGGTGAGCAGCGTAGCACTGGGCTTTCCTGCTCGGAACTAGAACAGCAGGTTCCTTTTCCGAGCTTGCTTTGCTGTTTCACTGATTCTTGTGGAACTTAAGGGCCAGAAGGAGAATCCGTTGGTTAGTCTTTCCCGTGAAGCTGCTGTTGTTAATTTCATCGATGGTGTGCCCCCCTGGTCCCGGGACCCCGCCATGGTGGGAACTGCCGGAGCCCGCCGCGGGGCTCTGCAGAGTGGGGGCTCCGACCGCGCCTGGGTGAGTGCATCCCTCTGTCTCCACAGGGCGTGGTACAGCAGTTCCTGGTGCTGCTGACGACCAGCCCCGATGAGAGCCTGCGCTTCCTGAGCTTCAGGCTGGACTTCAACGAGCACTACCGTGCACGGGAGCCACGGCTGCGCGTCTCCCTGGGCGCCCGGGGCCGGCGCAGCTCCCACACCTGAGGCCCAGCTGCGGGGCGGCCGCCGGGGCGTCGTCACGGGAACGTCGCATGGCCTCCGGGACGGCCTGCTGCCCTCAGCCCGCAGCCCTGCCGGCCGGCTCGGCCAGAGGCAGGGCATGCTTCTAGGCGGCGGAGCTGACCGTGTTTGTGAGGTCACTAAGTTAAACAGGCTGGCTTGCACTATCCGAATTTATTTTTTAAAGTCTTCATATGTAAAAGATACCATACTTTGAGGCTTCTTAAGCCCTCCACAGTATGATTTATATTTGTCACTTTTTAAAAGATCACACTTTTCTTTTAGAGAAAATTAAGGCGATGGATATTCATCAGTTGAGATGGTAATGTCATTGCTATTTTTTTAACATCCTCTTTAGAGGCAGTTTTGTTAATATAACCAAATTAAATTGAAATCTAACGTCCCTACTAAGGAAATATAGAGAGCATTTTATTTTGGTTTTTAGTGTTATAAAATATTAACCTCTCTAAGGACCTTTCTATCAGTGCGTTTACACGTATTGTTTTTTTCTCTTCCTTCAAAGTTTACATTTTTGTATCTCATTTACTTTCAGATAACTTGGGAAATAGTGTAGAAAAGGGCAGAGTCCTGATGCCTCAGTCCTTGAACCATCAGCTGAAGCATGGTGTAAATATGGATGCCTGGAAAGTTAATGAAGTACTTTATTTTCAGGTTTCTGATAAGCATTGGAAAGAAATTGTCTTGAATAATGAAGATTTCCTTTTTCCTTGCCTATTTTTTCATTGTAAATATTTATATACTGCTGCCCAGATGTTGGGGGGACATTTTTTGTAAAAATGTCATATCAAGTCACATAAATCTGCCTTTATTATGTTGCGTAAGTGAAAACTAAGACAATTAAAAGCAATTATCTTTCAGATGTGTTGGTTTTTTCCTCCAGTTGTCTGAGAGGACAGTCCCCCACCCCCCGCCACCCCCCATCCCCCAGGCTCCGGGGCCGGGTTCAGCAGGGTTTCTGCTTTCAGCGCGTGAATTACTGCGTCTGAAGCCAGGAAGCTGGACCGTGTGCGCCCCTTGGGCTTGCGTGAGCGAGGGTCTCCGCACCGGCAGAGGTGAGGGGAGATTGGTGTTCCGACACCCACACCGGCTCCTCTGGGCGCAGGGTCCTGCAGGACCCAGGGTGAGCGTCAGTGCTTCCTAGGGGGTTCACGTTTACTTCCGGTTTAGAAATTCGTGTGGCAGAGCTGGGAAGCAGGTTCCCCAGTCCGTCTCAGACGACTGCCCAGAGCCCGCGGGCCTCGGAGCCTGCCTCTGTCTGTCCCGAGCGTCTCCCAGAGACAAGTCCTCGGCAGAAAGCATGCTCGCCCGCCGCTGGCCAGCCGTCAGGTAGTCCATGCTGGCCTGGGGGCTGAGGAGGAGCTTCGCGGGGTGGGGCGGGGCTGCGGGGCGGGGCCGGGGCTGCGGGGCGGGGCGGGGCGGGGGCGGGGCTGGGGCCGCGGGGTGGGGCGGGGCGGGGCCGAGGCTGCGGGGTGGGGCCGGGTCGGTGGGACGGGGTGTGGGGCGGGGCCGGGGCTGCGGGGCGGGGCGGGGGCGGTGGGACGGGGCCGGGGCGGTGGGATGGGGCCGGGGCTGCGGGGCGGGGCGGGGGCGGGGCTGGGGCCGCGGGGCGGGGCCGGGGCGGTGGGACGGGGCCGGGGCGGTGGGACGGGGCCGGGGCCGGGGCCGGGGCTGCGGGGCGGGGCGGGGGCGGGGCTGGGGCCGCGGGGCGGGGCCGGGGCTGCGGGGCGGGGCCGTGGCCGCGGGGCGGGGCTGGGGCCGCGGGGCGGGGCGGGGCGGGGCTGGGGCGGGGCCGGGGCCGCGGGGCCGGGGGCGGGGACAAGTGGAGGCGCTCACACCCCACGAGGGGCTGTGGGTCTGAGGGTCAGGCAGCCTGTCACTCAGCAGGGTCCCGCCCAGAAGAGTCGGCGTTGAGTGGGGGCTCCACCTAGGGTGGGAGAGGGGAGAGCCCACGGTGGGTGAGCTGTCTGGAGGCAGGAGTCCCCCATGGCCCCGGGAGGTCACTGCTTCCACCAGAAAACGATCAAGACTCTCAGCTTCTGGGCCGTCACGGGGGGCGGGGCTGGGTGGGTGGGGCCAGAGCACAGTCCTTGGTCAGTGGGGCCCTGTGCCCAGTGGACGGGACCCTCCCGCCCCCGCTGCCCCCACCGCCGCTGCCCAGGGAGGCCAATTGCTGAGGCCAAAGCCCCAAGGCTGCCCTCGTGCTGGAGAACTGGCCGCCTGTCCTGGTGGGCGAGTGGCCTGTCCCCCGGGCCTGGTCGCCAGCAGACTCCCATCGTGGGCAACTCCCCATTTCTGGGGAGGGCGTGTCCTCCAGACTGGACTCCGGGACAGGAGGGCACAGCCCACGGAAAGCCCCACTTGCAGGGAAAGGAGATTTGGGTCGAATAGCCACGGTCACACTCAGACTGGGTCACGGGGCGCCAGGTCCATGCGAGGGCAAGACGGGTGGAAACCATGACGGCCACGCTGGGGGGTGGTGTGTGCGCCTGGGCAGCCGGGCAGGCCCCCCACCCTGAGTGCGTCTGCACTGCTGTGCGATCCGGGGGACCCAGGTGCAGCAGGCGCCGTGCTGGGGTCACCTGGCCCCGCGAGAGCAGGCTGCCAGACGCTGAGGCCCTGCGCTGGGGCTGGGCCCTCGGGGTCAGACCCCCCACCTGCTTGCAGGGGGCGCCGTGGGTGGGGTGTGCGCCGCCGCGGCAGCCTCCGGGCCTCACCCAGCCCTCGGACTCGGGGAGCAGGGGCGTGGGCACACAGGGATCTCTGCCTCCAGAGAATTGAGTCAAACGGTGCGGAAATTCAACCAAGTGACTCTGGATAGTGTTCTGAGGACATGATGCAGGTGTCTCTTCAAGAAGAGAAATGTGCTTCTCTGCCTTTATTCCGGTTTGGCTTTTAATAAAAATGCAAGGAGGGAAAGTCGCATAGCAACTTGCCTGGAGCACAGCTTCATGCTGCTGACAGCAGCTTCCGCCTGGTGTCCTCCAAAGGGTTCACCAGCTCCACCACTAACCTCACCCCAGCCCCCACCCCCGGGGGTCCCCAGAGGGTGCGACAGCCTGCGTCTGCCCCGTGGGGATGCTGTCAGGCCTCCCCTCCCCACCTCGCAGGGGACCTGCCCTGCTCCAGGCACCCACTGTGGCCTTCATGGCTTCTGTGTTACCCGGGTATCTGGAGACGCCCCTGTGGGCACAGGGCTGGTTCCACAGGTGGTCGTTACCCCACGGGGGCCAGGCCTGGCCCCTGCCCCCTCCTCTCTGAACACCTGCTCCCCTGCGGCCCAGGCCCTCTGACAGGCGTGGGCAGCCGCTGCCCACCTCTTGCCCTCTGGCGCCGAGTCTCGCTCGAGGTGAAACTTGGACAAGAGTTTCCATGGAGGCTCTGGACCTCCTGGGCACACCGGGCTGCCAGTGGTGGCCTTGAGGCCCTCGCATCTCCATGCCCTCCTGGCTGCCATGCTGACCTTGCTTCCTCCCAGCTCAGGTTTTCTGTGGTGGGGACGATGTCCCGCTTGTTGACTAAGGCTGGAGCAGTAGAGATAGTTAGGAGGTCATATTAGTAAATGACAAGCTGTTCTGTTCCAGGTTGTCCTGCCTTCTTCCCCGTGTCACCCTCCCTTAGAGCTTCTTCTTGTCCTCTCTTTGGCTCAACGAAGACAGCGCAACCTGCCCTGGTAATTGTGCAATGGAGGTCTCTGCAAACACATTGGCTCCATTAGCCATGGAGAGGGGTTGACTTTCAGCTGAACACAGCGCCTTTTCAGCTGAATGGGATCCAACGGAAAGACACCCGTGAAGGGTTCGCAGACGGAAGGAGCACAGCAAAGCACCCTGGTCGGCAGTGGGGGGAGCAGCGGGGGTCAGACGGCAGGCGCTGCTGCCCAGATCCTCTCGCACCCCTCCACCGCGTTCCTCCGTGTTCCCACGCTCGTTTCATAAAACCTACACGGAGCCCCAGTTTGCATTTCCCCAGCCTGGTGAACGGGGCGACGCAACGGCGTTTATGTGTGTGCGCGCACTTTGTTGCCAGAGGAGGGAGGCGGGAGGGCTGACACTCAGGCCTTCAGGCTGGCTCTTCATGGACGGGATCCTCGAGGATCTCAAGCCTTTCCCTATAGCAAAGAGGCGGGTCTGCGTGCTCTTCTCAAATGTATTTTTTTGCTTGTTTCTGGTTTCTTTACGAAAACTAAAAGAAAACCACATACCCTCACCTTCTAGCTTAACATTTAGAGGGACTGCTTAAGGTCACAGAAGAGAACAGTGTCCTTCTGCGGGACGGTTACCAGCGTGACGTGTGTACATACATATGCCCTTTATTGCTAAGGGTGGGTGTGCGCGCACGCAGTCTGGGTGCCCCGCTCGGGGGGGCTCCCTCGGAGCGCACAGCCCCGGGCCGCTCTCTTCCTCTGCCGCTTACTAGAGAGAGTTTCCTGTGCAGAGAGATTTCCTTGAGAACTTCCAGGACTTCCACCCCCCACCCTGAGCCTCCCTGGGATCCCAGCGGCTCTGCTGGTGACACCCTGGTCTGCGGGCAGCGGGGGGAAGGGCTGGGGCTACAGGCAAGTTTGCCAGTTTGCATGGAGGAGGAGTGGGGAGGTGGGTTTAGGGGAGGTTGTCGGCGAGTGAGGAGGGGATGCAGAACCGCAGCTTCAGAGGCACGAGAGGCCGAGGCCGAGGTGTCTGAAAAGGCCTGGGAAGCAGGTCCTGGGCGGGAGGTGCCGGCGGCGAGGCGCGTGGCTGCCTGCCGCTGCGGTGACCTCCCTGGGCCTGGGCACCGGGGCACGTGGGTGTCTTACAGTCCCCCTCACCCCAGTTATTTCTGGAGAGAGGCTCAGTCTCGCTTGGTTCAGCCAAGGAGGGTGGGGAGCCCGCAGGTGGCTGGTGACCCCGGGACTGTGGGCTCTGGGGTGGGGCTCACAGGGTCCCCCTAGGATGGCGTCTCCTCTCGTCCGGAGCTGCTCACAGCCCACGGGGGTCCTCCGAGTGGACTCCGTACTTCCCTTCCCACCAGGGGGACAACCCCTGTTACCACCACGCTGTTGTTCGCTTTACCTGAAGATTTTCCGATATTTTGAAGGATCATGTCCAGAACCGATTGTTTCAATTGTTGATCAGTTTTGGGATGCTTCTTTCCTGGGGGAAAAATTAATAAAACAATCAAGTCTTTGAAAGTTAAGGCAAGATTCCAAACGTCTTTTCAACGTTAGAAACCATGAGCTCCAAGACAGCAGCACCTCACACAGCTCGTGACGTGGCTCATGGCCTCGGGCAGGGCCTGGGGACATCCTCCCATCCAGGCAGATGTCACCAGTGAACACAGGTGGGAAAATTAAAATTAAGTGCATTTTAGCAAACTGAATCCAAGATGTATAGAAATGATACTGTTATGACCAGCTGGGTTTATTCTGGGAATACAAGGCTTGTTCAACACTCAAAAATCAATTTCGTGTAACTCATGATATAAACAGCATTTAAAAAAACAAAACAAACCAGCTGATCATTTCCAAAGATCAGTGGCTGGTGAACGAGGACTTGTGGGCTGTAAGTTATTATGCCAAAAGCAGCGACCTCTCTTTTCCTTGCCTCTTTTCTCTTGATGAGAGTGGATCAGCACCTATTCTAACGAGCGAAGTTTTGTTGAATGAGAAGGTCACCCAGGCTTCTATGCATTGTCTCTGGCTACTTCTGTGCCAGGATGCAGTAAGCAGTGAGAGCAGGAGCCACCTTGCCCCCAGAAGCTAAATTATTTACTGTCTGACTTTTTACCAAAAAAGTTCACTGTGCCTGCAACAGGTACCGAAACAGATTTGGCCAAAACTCAACACCCATTCAGCATCAAAACACTCAATAAACTAGGAGAGGAAGGGAACTTCTTCAGCCTAATGAAAGGGTTCTATTAAAAATGCCCACAGCTAACATCACCTTTAGTACAAGCATCCTTAATGTTTTCACTCTAAGTTATGAAAGAATGTTCATTCTAACCTCTCCTATTTAACACTGAGCATTGTATTGGAGCTGGGGTAATAAGGCAAGAAAAATAGATAGAAGATATATATGTATATGTATATAAATAAAACTGTTCACAGATGATGTGATTATAAAGAAAATCCTGATGATTCTGCAGGAAGTTTCCTGGGACTGAAGGGCGGGTTGCTCGGGGTGATGGTTACAGGATCAGTGTAAAACAATAACATTTCCATACACTAGAAGCAGACAACTGGGAATGAAAAGAAGTACCGTTTGTAACAACACCAAGAATTAGTAAATGTGTGTGTATAAATATGATTAAGTGTTTGCAGGGTTTTAATCACTGATGAGAAGCGTCACGGGAGACCTAAAGAAATGAAGTCACTGCCGGTTTGGAGACTAGATATTGTCCAGATGTCAGCTTCTTCCCAATGGTCTGTGGAGTTGCAGAAATCCCAATCAAAACCACATCTGATTTTTTTTTTTTTTAGAAATTAAAAAGCTGTGTCTTAAATTTTTATGAGAAGACAAAGGAACCAGAAGAGCTAAACTGATTTAGAAAATCAAGACCAAAGTAGGAGGATTCACACTACCTGATTTCAAATATTGTTGTAAACATATAGTGACTGATACAATCTGCTGTCTGAGAAAGAATAGATCTTATGTCAATGGAATAAAAGAGAGAATCCAGAAATAGACCCACACACATGCCATCAACTGATTGACACCATCTGGCAATTCAAGAGCAAAATGTCAGCAAAAGCAAGTCGACAGGGAAAGCTGAGGTCGTTCAACAAATGGTGTTGAAACAATGGAACCTTGATGTGCGAGAAAGTCAGACCAACACAAGACATCTGTACCTTTCATAATGTGCGCCACGAGCTGGGAGTGGGCCAGAGTCCCAAACATGAAAGCTGCAGCTGTAAAGAAAAGAACATAGGGAGTATTCGTGGCTTTGAGTTAGGCAAAGATTTTGGATATTTGACACCAAAAACATGATCCAGAAAATGAAAATTGATAAATTGGACTTGATCAATATTAAGAACTTCTGATCCTTGAAAAGCAATGTTATGCAAATGAAAAAGCAAACCACAGTCTGGTAGAAAATATTTTCCAATCACATATCTGATGAAGGACTTGTATCCAAAACATACAGATGCTTCTCAAAATGCAATAGGAAAAGAAACTAATAATGGAGAAAATATTTGAACAGAGGTTTGACCAAAGAAGATATGCATATGTGTGCATGCTCAGTCGTGTCCGATTCTGTGACCCCGTGGACTGTAGCCCGCACCAGGCTCCTCTGTCCACGGGGTTCTCCGGGCAAGAATACTGGGGTGGATTGGCGTTTCCTACAGGCAAATAAACAGGACAGGATGCTCAACATTATTGGTTACTAGAGAAATGAAAATTAGCACTGCAAGAAGGTACTCCTGCAGGCTCACTAGATTTGTTAAATAGTAGAAATATCAAATATTGGGGAGGATCCAGCAAAACCTGTTTCAACAGTTTCTGACAAAGTAAAACATAGTTACCATACCTCTAGATATTTATTTAAATGAAATGAAAATTTTTATTTACCTCAAAGCTACTATATAGATGGTTGCAGTGGCTTTATTTGTAATTCCGAAACCTGGCAACCGTTCAAATGTCATTCACCTGGTGAGGAACAAGCAAGCTGTGGTTCAAAGTGGAGCGTCACTCACGGAGGAGGAGGAAGGTGGCAGACGCACACGTGACTTGGCAAATCGCTGATGGAGGAAGCCAGGCTCGGTCTACACAGCGCACGACGCCTCACGTAGACATTCCGGAAAAGGGACAGGAAACCGCCCAGGCCTTCTCAGGGCTGGGGGCAGGGGAAGAAGCTGACTACACAGAGGCATGGAACTTGGGTGACCCGCCTTTTCTGTATCTGCTCTCCGTGTTGGCGACACAGCGCTATGCATTTGTCAAAACTTGAGGAAGTGGGATGCTAAAGAAGACGGATTTCACTGCATGAAAATTATACCTTCATAAAGGCTGACATTTCTTACGAACGAGGCTCTGTCTGCCCAAGTTCTTTACCTGCATTTATTTAATCCTCACAATAGCTCCACAGGTGAAGGGTCTATTGTGTGTGTGTATGCTCAGTCATCAGTCCTAAAGGAGATCAGTCCTGGGTGTTCACTGGAAGGACTGATGCTGAAGCTCCAGTACTTTGGCCACCTGATGCGAAGAGCTGACTCACTGGCAAAGCCCCTGATGCTGGGAAAGATTGAAGGCGAGAGGAGAAGGGGACGACAGAGGATGAGATGGTTGGATGGCATCACTGACTCAACGGACATGAGTTTGAGCAAGCTGCAGGAGTTGGTGATGGACAGGGAGGCCTGGCGTGCTGCAGACCATGGGGTCACAGAGTCGGATACGACTGAGCGTCTGAACACAGCAACATGCTCAGTCGTGTCCGACTCTGAGACCCCGGGACTGCAGCCCACCAGGCTCCTCTGTCCATGGGATTCTCCAGGCAAGACCACTGGAGTGGGTTGCCATTTCCTTCTCCGGGGATCCTCCTGACCCAGGGATCAAACCTCTTGCATTGGTAGGTGAGTTATTTACCACTAGCCCCAGCAAAGCTCCACTAGCTTCAGCTTACAGATGATGGCACAGAAGTTCAGGGAGGTGAAGCAACGAAACAGGATCAGAAGCAATTTCATGGAGGTGGCTTTATCTCTGGCAACTGGAGGAAGTTCTAGATAAATCTGTGTCTCCGGGCGCTGGCCGCTGGCTTCTAGACTGATGATGTCGGTTCCACCGGGAACTCACTGGCGAGGCAGACACTGCCTCGTTCTCCGCGGCAGCGTTTCCGGCTCATTGAAAAACGCGAGTGAAGCCGCCAAGACGAATGCAGGAGGGACTGTGGGGAGCAGTCAGAGCCGCCGCTGCCCCAGGGGCCTCTGGGAAACGGCTGGGGGCTCTCCCGGGTCCCCGAGAGGGGCCCCTTGCAGGTTCCTCTCACCCCAGGACCCCCAGGCGGGGCCGCGTGGCCTCAGATCTCACACCCGAGAGCTGAGCTGTTGCCCGGGGTGATCTCGCTCCACGTCCCTGTCCGACAACCAGGCTCCAAGCTGACATGCACTCTCAGCCCAGAGATGAGCGCTGCCGCACCCCTGGTGGGGCCCGCGGGCACCCTGCCCGAGCACAGGTCAGCCCAGGCTCAGGCATCGGGGCACCTGAGTCGTGGCTTCTCTGGGGCTGCGGCCTCCTTGTGGGGTGCTCAGGCGGACTTGAAACTGGAATGGGCTCTGACCACCCAGAGCCTCTTCCCATCGATCGCCGCAGCGGGGTTGTCCTGAGCAGCCCTCTTCGGAGACGTGGGTGTCACCCTCATGGGGCCGCGACCTGATAGCCCGGGAGGAAGGAACACAGGAAGGAAGACGAGCCTCCCTGAGCCTCAGTTCATTTCCGAATCGGAGTAAGATGGCCACATATTAAGTTTTATTTTGATTATTGTTTGACTCAGGAATCCTTGTTTGGGTTTACCCCATAGTTACCAGTTTCCTTTAAAGTTCTGTCGATGTGAGACTCTCAGGCTTTACCAGTCACATCAATGATGCACATCAGCTTAACTCAGGCATTAAATTTATTTTTTGGTAACGCTCCTTAGAAAGCAATACCCAAGTATGTGCTGTGTACTTAAAGTGATGCTGAAACATTGGAAATAAAGGAAAGGAGATGAAAGACACATGATGAGGACCATAGAACACTGATAAATGAAATTGAAGAAGATTCCAAAAAAAAAAAAAAAATGGAAAGACAGGCCCTTGGATTGGCAGAATTAGTACAGTTAAAATGGATATATTACTCAAAGCAAGCTCCCAATTTAACTCAATCCATATCAAATTACCCACGACACTTTTCACAGAACCAGAACAAATAATGCTAAAATTTATACGGAACCACAAAAGACCCAGAATTGCCAGAGCAATTCTGAGGAAAAAGAACAAAGTTGGAGGCATAACCCTCCCAGGCTTCAGATAAGTGGTACAAAGCCACAGGAATCAAAGCCATGTGGTGTTGGTGTGGAAGCAGACACAGAGATCCATTTGACAGAAGAGAGCCCGGAAATAAACCCACACACCTACAGCCAGCTAATCCACGACAGAGGAGGCAAGACCACACAACGGAAAAAGGACAGTCTCCCCAACGAACGGTGCTGGGAAAGCTGCACGGCGACATGTGAAAGATTGGAATCAGAACGTTCTCTCTCTGACAGGATTCAAGCACCCAGATGCTTGCTTCTCCTGGGGCTTCCTTAACGTGAACCCCGGCAGGGCGCTCGGGGAGCTAGCTTCCTGAACTGTGGCCATCGTTCTGCGACGAGTGTAAATCAGACAGTCCTGCTGCACGCCTGTCAGTTCTACCTTAATACAACTGGAAGGAGAAGAGAAAATCATTGCAATATTGCCTGAAGAAGCAAGTTACAGAGTTTATACGGTATGATTCCACTATATTTTAAACACAAGCCTTGAAGAATGACTGAAGGGAAGAATAAGAGGAAAGATCTTGTAATGAGGAAAGATTGGCCTTTAAAATATGAGCTGTCCAAACTCACTCTTAGTTAGAAAATTGCAAATTAAGAGAAGATGGGAGCCCCTCCTCACCCATCAGGTTGGCGGCATCTGAGAGGCGTGGGCACACACGGAGGGGAGGCTGGATCCCACAGCCTCTCCCCTCTGCACGCGGGTGGCAGCCCGGGCGGGTCGGCAGGCTGCTCTTACCGTTACTGTGAAGACTGTCGGCAGTGCCTGAGGAGATCTGCGAGTCATGGTAACCCTCGGGGCCGCTGGTGTGGTGAGACGCGTCAACACTGGGTTCTTGGATGAAGAACATGGGGAGAAAGGGGGAAACATTTGCGTGATTACATATTTATCGACATCTTGGCTCACACTTTTTCTTTAGAAGTTTGGGTTAAAACACCACTCTTGTTTTCAGATTTCATTGGAAGGTGTTTTGGGAAGTTATTATGTATAATGAACACCGGGGTCAGGCATTATCTGACTCTTAAGATTACAGGTCACTCCTTTTTTGACCCCCTTCCCAGTCCTAAGAATTTTCCCTGGAGAATCATCGCCAACAATAGGAAGCTTCACACGTGCCAGGCTATTCGTTGCAGCAGTGTTCGTAGCGTTGGCAGCTGCAGCGGCTGGAAACAAGTGAGAAGACTGTGCCGATAACGGGCACTAGTGGGGCTCACACGCCCTGGGGGCCGCCGAGCGGCTGTGGGAACTAGACCGAGACCGTGGCCATGCGGAATGGTTCTCAGTTGTCAAGGCTGAGTGGGAAAAAAAAGGCTAGAGGCGATTTACAGTGTGAATACACTGAGCAATTACAGAGCAATAAAGGAGGGACACACGGATATCCCTCATCTCCTCATCTGTGCAGAAGGAGACCCAGCAAGGGCAGGGTGGATCTGACGAGGCTGGTCCCCTGCAGCCGGGTGGGGGTATGGGGCGGGGGAGGCGTGTCTGTCCCTTTTTCTATAGCTGTCACTTCCAGGACCACGGTGATGTGCTGCAGAGTCAAATGTAAATGAAGTGGAGTCGCTCAGTCGTGTCCGACTCTTTGCGACCCCATGGACTATAGCCTGCCAGGCTCCTCCATACGTCCATGGGATTTTCCAGGCAAGAATACTGGAGAGGGTTGCCATTTCCTCCTCCAGGGGATCTTCCCGACCCAGGGATTGAACTCGGGTCTCCCGCATTGTAGGCAGATGCTTCTACAGTCTGTGCCACCCGGGAAGTCTGTAAATAAGTATTTATAAATAACAGGAAGAAGGGACCGACGTGGAGAGCAAACAGCAGTAGGGAGCTGATGATGGAAAGAAGCCACGGGCGGGGTGCCTGGGGGAGGGGCGGCCCCGGGCCACACTAAATCACAGGTGTCATTCTGCAGCAGGGAGCCTGGGTCTTCTCTAGGGTGGGGGGGGGGCAGCATCCTGAGTCCAGGACTGAGCAAGTGATTGAATATGTTGTGGAAAGTGGGAGCCAGGTTTCTGACAAAGTGGTACCAAAAGGAGCTTCACGAAGGGTCCTGAAAGAACCCTGTGATGCTCGAGGGGTGCACTGTGGCTTAGAGAGAAGCAAGGGGAGCGGGGAGGGGGACAGGGGACCCAGCACAGCGGTGTGTGTCTGTGTGCATGGGCGCCGTGTGTGCGTGGGTCTGTCTGCTTCTGCCCAGGACGTGCTGTGGCGCGAGAGAGTGAGCACATGCCGAGGGCGGGGTGATGGAGGACAGAAAACCAAACGGAAGGTGCTCCCCAGGCAAGCGCGGGGCAGTGTGGACAAAGAGAAGAATGACATTAGCGTGCCAAAATTGACCGAATAGAGTATTTATGCGTGTGAATGGATATTAAGAAGCATTTAAATATGCACACATATTTATAAAGGGCAAGCTCTTTCTTAAAGCAGAATCCCAATCAATAAGCAGAGATGCGTGATAGAAACAGACCACCGCCTCTGATAGAAACAGGCCAACACCATACTGGGCTGCAGGCGATCCACACAGGTCCAGGTGTGCGACGCCTTCTGAGACGTTAGAAATATCAGCCCTCTGCCTGCTCCGTATTCCAAATGCCAACTGCCAGCTCACTGGAGAGACTGGGGGACGGGCTGAAATGCAGATCCCGGGGCCCCGCCTCAGAGACACTAGTGGGCCGGCCGGAACGTGTTCTGAGGCAGCTCCCCTCCCGAGCCGCAGTGATCTGCGGAAAGCAGCCTCACTCTCCAGCCTGGGCTGTTCGTCCTGGGAAGAGGCGTCTCTGTCTGCACCACGTCTGAGCTCAGGTGCGGGCCTGCCGGGGTGCATTTACCATTGAGAATTTTGTCCTCAGCCTCCAGAGATATTGGTGACACGTCTGCAAACTCATGGAAACCCTCAGCAGCGCTGAGTTGGTCGCTCTCATCAATGCTGGCATCTTGAGGAGGAGCGTGGAAAGAATAGGAGAAAGCGTGATGCAGGGATGCTCTGACCCACACTGTGCTTTGGAACCTGAGGCGGGGGCGCTAACACACTTTCCAGCTTCTCCTGACAACGTGCTCTAGGGAGTCAACACACAGGCGGGCATTCTCTGACCTCTGTGAACCCAGCCGTTTGGCGGATGTTCCGAGAGCTAATCCCAGGAACTGGCATTGACATCTGGATGCAGAATTTCAAGTAAACGCTGACCTTCCCTGCTGCTGAATGCATTCCATGCTCTGTTTTAATTTCAGACACACGGCTCTCACCATCGTTGAGGGTTAACCGAGTGTTCTGCTTGGATCTCTGGGTACTATTTCCCTTTTCTGTGTATGTTTGGACCATGCTAAGCTGCAAACTCTAGAAGATGGTGAAGGACAGGGAAGCCTGGCATGCTGCAGTCCATGGGGTTGCAAAGAGTCAGACACAACTGAGCGATGGAGCAACAACAAAATTGCACTTGGGAAAAGCACGCTGTTTTGTTCACTATCAGCTCTGTGGCTGGGGCCAGTCCATTCAGACCCTAGTTTTGTCCCCTGTTGGCTGGGGTCAATTCCCCGCCCCTGCTCTCAGGAGGCTTAAGGGGAGCGTCACACTCGCCGGGTAGTCAGGAGCTCCGATCTGCCTGCATCCTGGGGTCCTGCAGTGACTAAACCCCACATGCACCCCAAGCACCAGGCCTCTCCTGCATGTGCCCCCAGAGATGCCCCCACCCCCCAGAGTACAGGAGCTTGTCTCTGCCCGTCTGGGTTTGACCTTCCTGCCCCGGGAGGATTACAGAAAATGTGGGACTACTGTATCCTTCACATCTCCATCTGCTTTCGCCCCAGGAGTAGCTGATCTCAAAGATGCTGCCAAGATGAAATTATGCATACACACCACAGACCTCCAGGAATGCTGGCAATTAAGGCTTGAAAAAGTGTATACTTGCTTTTTTTCTTTGTTGGAGTCGTTAATGTTGTTGAGGTTGTTCTTGTTGGGAATGTTGGTAGTGGTTTTTGTGCGTCAAAAAATGATGATCTATTTGACTCCATCATCTCCTGGACTAGAATTTCATCTTGGGAAAAGCACAGAAGGGCACGTGTTAAACCCTCTGCTCTGCACGGCCCTCAGGCAGTTGGTGAAAGCAGGACTGGACACAGGGACCCAAGGCCATGGGGAGATGGACTTGGTTTCTAAAAACCTTGTCTGGTGGGGGAGACCACTGCCTCCCTAAGCAACTTCTGGAAGCCTGAGCTCATCCGGGTCCCTGGACACGCCCACTGGAGACAGGATGCTGGACAGCTGACCCTGCGTGGTCATGATTCTCCTTCTGCCCCAGGGGCCACTCTGTCCCCTCTGAGACACCCTGCCTCTGTGAGCTGCGCCCCGGCA